TAAAGAAGAGAGTACAAAATTGATATGTTATATCTATACCTTCTGTATGGCAGTGAATTCTGGACAATTACAGATGAAGAAACTTGAAGCAACAGAGATGTTCTACTGACAGATGCTAAGAATACTATAGATAGAACATGTAAGCAAGGAGGAAATTCTAAGGATAACAGGAATTAGAAAGACGGTTATACTTAAAATCAGATAGAGACCCTTCAACTTTATTGTGAAACATTATGAAGAAAGAGGGTTTGGAAAATTTAACACTCACAAGATATACTGAGTGGAAGCAGGAAACAGTGAGTAACCTCCCTAATGAATGTGCGTGAATGGATATCAGAGTGGAGAGAAAGAGGGATGGTAACAAGTTAAATGTTGCTTAGATCAAAAAGAGACAGAAAGTTATGAAGAATCATGATGGCTCACATCTATAAAAGAAGATTTTCTCAATGGTTAAATGATAAAGATTTGTTTGACATCCTGACCAATGTCACTTGTTGAATGAAGACACAGAGGTTAGAGAGAAAAATATTCAAAAATTACAAGATAAGCCCTACACTTGTGTAAGACGGGTGAACTGATTGGCTGAAATGGTGAAACTCAGTGAAAATGATAATCCAAAGAAATTGTGGGAAAATGAAATAAAATCAATGAATAAAATAATTATAATAATGATGATAAAAATAAATACATTTTCCCATGATGATAGTAATGAAGGAACCATAAATTTTATTATACCACTTGGCTTTGTCAAATGTCATTAGGTAGAACTGCTGAAGTCTATAAAAAAAATTAACATTTTACCTACTCACTCTGTTTCTTCCTCGTGCTCTAAGATATAGCATCATGTGGAAATTATGTCCTCACTTGGGAACGTCTCTTTTCCTCGGTTCACTGAACTCTATTTTCAAACATATGGCATTTGGATGTGTTTTCCAAAACCTCCATCTATGAAGTAAATCAACCTTTTCTTTGGTCATTCCAACTCAGTGAAAGGCTGACTTGATCTCAACCATTATAGCCATGCTTAAACCTCTGACGATGAAGTAAGTATAAACTTTTTTGTTCGTTCCAACTCTGCACAAGACTGTCCTGAGCTTGACCATTATAATAATGCTTATACTTACTTACCCTAACTCCTGGACCAAAATGAAAACTTTGCTTGAGAGCATTGTTTCACTACTGTATATATATATAAGAGAATAAACAGTCCATGGTAGAAACCCAAGTTTTTGGATGCTTTTTCTTAATTGTTTATATATACCTCCACCTAAAATAGACATCAGAATGCAACCTTTTAAATTCCAGAAAATCATCAAATAATGGCAACACTTGAACTGAAAATACTTTACAGAGTTTGAGAGCTTCTATGAGAGAGTATTCTTGGGTATGATGATAAACTACATCTGGCAGCAAGGCCTCTGATCAGGAGATTGGAGATTTTGAGGAGTGTGGAATCACCTCTTAATTACTATTGTTCCCAGGACCACCCTGACCTGTCATGGTCCCAGTTATGGACAGATAGTGAACTCCCCACCACAAAAAATATTAAGTATAAGAATACATTTTTATAGTAAAAATACTAACAATACATTCTTACATAAAGTTACCAACAATACCTATTTATAGTAAAATTACCAACAATACTTTTTTAAAATCAACATGACCAGTAATTTTATATTAGAATGATCAACAATACATTTTATTTAGAGTTGAAGGCATATAATTGCGTTCAAAATATTTAGATTTCAGCATTAAATAACCCATAGAGGTTGATAAGTCGCTAAACAAAATCAACCAACAAACCAACCATCTATGAGAGAGTGCTGAAAAAAGTAACCAATTTCCTAAAAAAAAAAAAAAAAAAAAAAGATTCCAAAATTTGTTCATTAAAATACTAATTTAGGGAAAATTTTCAGGCTGGGAACATTTTTTGATTTGTCCTTGTTGGCTCATATAAAACACAGGTAGTAGGGTATAAATTTCTTGATATCTCAATAATTAAAAAGTTTTCGGAAATCAGCATAATTTTTGTCTGGGTCAGATAGTGTGTACTTACTCTCAGTAGAAACAGGTGAACAATAACTGAGCAGTACTAAATAAATATAAGAACTAGACGAGATATCCCTTGACATTAGCAGTGGAATGAGAACAGTCTAATCCTGTAGATTAAATAAAGGGTTCAGTTTGGAATTACCTGTAGGTTACCCAGATTGATATACACCTGATGAAGGCTGGAAGGTATAATGACTGAAACGTGATAAAAAAAAAAAAAAAAGAAAAAGAGGACAATAGTCTGAATATAAATAGTGTAAATAATAACTCCTCATTCCAGGAATTCAAACAGAAGGCAATCAGGTGATGATAACAACAAAGATGAGGACAATAATCCGAATATAAATAGTGTAAATAATGATAACTTCTCATCCCAGAAATTCAGACAGAAGGCGATCAGGTGATAATAACAACAAAGATGAGGACAATAGTCCAAATATAAATAGTGTAAATAATGCCAACTCCTCATACCAGAAACACTTCCCTATTGTGGCTGCACCAGGAAGCTGTACAAATACTGCTGGACCAAGTGAATACAATAAGATCTTTGATCCAGTTCACAATGGAAGAAAATTTGAAATACCACCAAGTCAGGTAATCCAGTTTGCTCAAATGCTCTTAGATTGAGTGTGTTCCCAAGTCTCTACTTATGACTTGCAAGTTGCCATGGCTACCTCATCTTTCAAACAACCCTCTCTACAATCTGCCATGATGCTCCTGCACTATTCCAGCGCAAAAACAAAGATGCACAGTATGTCTATCAGCTCCTATGGGACATGCCTAACTGATTAGGGTTAGACGAGCACTCTTCCTGACCACTTCTCACTACATATCTAGTTTGTAAACCGAAGAAGAAGAAGTATAAGAAAAATAGGAAATTGCCATTTACTAGAAATGGCTATAAAACAGTGATTTCTTATGGGTGTCACCAATTACCATTTTGATCAGATACCCTGCAGTACAAACCAAGGAAGCTAATCAACACCCACTCCCAACACAAAAAATATGCCAAAAAACAAATTGCACAATTGCTACTACATATCTACATTGGTTTTGAAATAACACTAAGTGCTAGTTAGTTTTTGCTACAAACATTAGGGACTGACATTTTTAAAAAAGTACAAATCGACAGCAGGCAATGTCAGTCTAGGGCGAGGCACCTTGAAGTGGTGTAATGGTTAGCAAGCTTCTCTTGCTAGAACAATTATGACTGAGTAGTGAATTCGATCCACATTGGGTGCCTCATATTTTCGGCCTTGTGCCACATCTAAGCTACACTTAGAAAATCACTTTTTGGGTACTTTGACGTCGTGTAATGAATGGTTAGCAAACTTGTCTCGCTTGATTGAACAATTACGACTGAGTTGTGGGTTCGATCCTCACTAGGTGCCCCATACTTCCGGCCTTGTGCCACATCTAAGCTACGATTGGAAAATCACTAAAAACTTAATAAGGGTGTCCAAAGAAGTGAAAGCGTTAATGATCGATTTTAACGTTTTAAAAAAAAAAAAAAAAAAAAAGAAAGGTTTTTGAAATTTTTTGAACTAACGTTTTTTAAATTACTGTTTTTTTTTTTTTTTAATTATTAAAGAGCTACACTGCTAAGTGAATTATAAAACATAGTTTGTCTTGCATTTGAAAATGATCTTTTTAATTTTATGTTTAACTACTTTCTAAAAAAACGAAAGCTTAAAAAAAAGTAAAACTAAAAGAAAAGTGGTAGCAATCACCATTCTCATCTCATGACACACCGTGTGGTGGTGGCAGAGGGTCGTTGTGTGCACATGACCACTCTTCTTGACCAGCAGTTCTCCCCACATATCTGGTTTGTAAACCGAAGAAGAAGTATAAGAAATTCATTCATACTTAGCAAATAGGACAAAAAATAAATAAATAAAAAAAGAAAAAACAAATTACAACGGGAAATGTAAAACCTCCCAAATGACTACGAGGTATTATTTGATTTTAAATGCAAAATGTGACACAGGGTTTTTACGTTTTTTGTTTTTATTCTCGGATTCGTTAAACCAACCGCAAACATCAGGGCGGGCTTCTGACCTAAAAATCTCTTCTCTGGTAGAAGGAAAAATAAAATTATGATTGAAATTATTAGCAATCTTAGAGCAATATTGAAAAAAAATGAATGGATTAAAAACAGAAACTTTGAAAGAAAAGGTCAACGAGGTAAATTTTAGATTTTTTTTTTTGTTACAAACTGAGAAAGAAATGTCAAAGTAGTGACGAAGAATTTAAAATAAATCATAAAAATAGAGACCGAATGGGGAAAAAGGTGTGAATACGGATAAAAGACAGTGATGAAAGAGGAAATAGAAGAAAATATAAAAATAAATCAGATTATTTACCTTTTTTGAATTTTTTCTTTTTAAATCGTCTTTTAAGGCATCAGCTGCTGACTTTATGATTTTTTTTGCTGTGTCAGATTTACGTTTAATATCCAAATAAATAGATTCTTCTTTGTTTCTTTTTTTTTTTTTTTTAAATAAATGAGAACAAAATCAATTGATTGTGGAAGTATTTAGAGAATCTTTCACACTTGTTTCGATTATTTTAAAAAAATGAAGACCATGAAGAAATGAAATCAACTTCAATTCAAAATGTTTGTAAACAATTAAAGTCGTATATCGCCCGTCCGTGTCTCTGGCTTCAAAAAAAAAAAGATGAAAATTTAAAGTTAAAAATAATTTAAAGTTAAAACCTAAGATTAATAGTAAAAATTTAAATAAAATAATATGAATTTAATTCATTTCAAATATTGAATTATCGTAAAAATCGCTAAATGATTTACTAAAAACGTTTCATCATCAGCAACATGACTGCAAATAACAATATCCCATACCGGAAATAGAGTCATCCTTTTCCGGCTGCTGAAAAATAGAAACGAGGCTAACTTTACCGGAAGTAATAGAACGGACGTATGTTTCTGGCGCATGCGCCAAGTCTCTTGTCTTTCCCCCACGTGTGTATACGGTAGAGAAATGATGGCGGCGCCTCGAGACGTTGCTGCTTTCTCTCCGAAAGGCGATTATTTAATGCACTGTTCAGTCGATGGAATTTTAAGAGTTTGGGATACGCGCACTAGTTCCTTAAAGACAGAATTTTCACCTAGTTCACATTTAACAGCAACTTGTAAATGTCTTTGTTGGTGTCCTGCAAACAGGTTCTCGGTAAGGGATTTTTTCTTTTAAAGTACTTTCTCCTCTCTAAATTGTTTTTACTCATTGTTGATATTTTTCTGTTTAAATAATAAATAATAAATGTCTCTTACACGCGAGAATACTGGTAATTATGATGCAATGAAAATATTTTGTGTAGTTGTTACTTTTTAACCGCTAACGTTCAAACTTGGTTTCTCTCTCATACGGATTGCACCATGTGGCAGTTGATTCTCTTTAAAAAGCTCGTCTCGCTGGTTTTTTTTTTCACCCCACTTGCTAAATTATTTATTTTAAACGTATTGTTTTTAAAGAAATCATATATAACAATTTAGGTTGCTTTCTGAGTATATTCAAATTGATTATTAAATTCAATTTAAACAAAGAAAAATGCCTGCTCCCTTTTAAAAAGAAACATTTTTTTTTGTAACGTAAGCAAGATCAATTTACAAACTTTTTCAGTCTTCCTTTAAGGAATCGTAATTTTTAATTTCTAATTTTTTTAAGTAATATCTTATTTTAAATGTAAATTTTCTTTCATTGTTTATTCTAATTGTGATATTGATTTTATTTTTTAATTTATTTTAAAACTTTTTTTTATCTCATTCAACAGTTGTTTGTGTTGTATTTTTGACTTCTTTCAACGCTATTTTTGTTAAATTGAAGTTTAATTCTGTTACTTTTTAAAACGTGGTTATAATTTACCGCTCTGTTTACTTTGCATTACTTTCTAAAATTGGATACTTGATGTAAATAATTAAAAAAAAAAAAATAAGCAAACCCAAAAAAAGCATTCCTCCCACCAAAAAGTAATAAAAATATTCTTTAGCATTACTTTTTAAAAAACAATTTATAAATTTTGTTTAAATTAAAATATTACTTGGAATTTGATGTCATAAAATTTCAGCTGATTCACGCGCGCGCAATAAAATAATTTAACTATTTTAAGTCGATTTCCTAATTGTTTTTTGAAAAAGTTGTAAAATAATAACAGGTTCTCGTTATGTAGTAATATCTGATTTTGTTTGTAGAGTTGCAATTTTAGAGAATGACTTAACCAAAATAACATTTTAATATTTGGTAATTCGGAATTTTAAATAAAAACATTGATATGGTTATTTCCCTCCTGGTCGATGTGCCAAAGAACTTTGGTATTTGCTACTTTATTTATAATTTTAAAAAATCCACGGGAGATATTTTTAAAGTTCATTTAATGTACTCTTACTTATTATTTGTTTTGGCAATAGTATTATAAAAAATATTTATCTTCAGAATTATTAAAATTTAATTTACTAGAAAAATGCAAACAACTTTTTGATGTAAAGGAGCCTTTTTTTTACGTACGGTAAATTGAAAACCTCTGAACTTTGAATAAATAAATATCCGAGAAATATCGTTAAGACTTCAATTTTAAGGCAAAGCTTTCTGTGGTAGATTTGTCAATTTTAATAAAGTAAAAAAAAAGTTTTCTTGATTGATTTAAAAAAAAAAAAATTTGCAGTTTTTTTTTTTTATACGAATCTGAAGTTATCTCCCTTTGTATGAATAAGAATTTCTTTTTTTAGCTGAAAAAGAATTGGAAACTTCTGCAACGTTTGATAAACGTATCTAATGCTTTTACCTGCACCTAAACATCTCCCTCTGAAACAGTTTTTAGGGGAGGATACTTAATCGTAACCCGTACGGCGTTTAGGGTGGATTTAGGCATCATTTTAAACAAATGTGCTTTCAGGACATATTTCTGTGATGGCTGGTCTCTACAATAATTTCCTTCTTTTTTTTTAAGTTCTTAATAAAATTTGTCTTTTTTGCTAAGCCCTATTCTGCCATTCTTTTATACGCAAGGTCGCTAAATAGAGTTGGCTTTGTTTTGCTATGATAATCTTGTATTCAATCTGTCTTGTGAGTATCAAATTTTCCAAGTGTTCTTTCCTCATGTACCCTGGAAATTTCAACGGTCTCTTTTTGATGTTAAGTATAAGTTGTTTTTTTTTTTGTTTACATTTTCTCTAAAACTTCGTTGTTGCTCACATGTTTGGTCCCTAGTTCCCTCAGCATCTTTCTGTAGAACCACATTTCTGTTGCTTCATTTGAGGGGAGATTGTCTAGCATTCACTGCTGTATAAGAGTGCTGATATTACATAACCGTCCAGTACTTTTTTTTTTTTTTTTTTTTTTTAAACAAAATTTTCCTGTTTCTTCATACTTAGTTTTTTGAAGGCATCTTTCGCAGTGCACCTTTGGATTTCAGTATTGCACTTTCTGTTCTCTATCAAAACACTTCCCATACATTTTTTAAATTGTTGGTCTTGCCTGATTTTGGTATCTCCAATTTGTCATTTGCATGTTGGGCTGTTCCTTTTGCTGAGAGCTATGCATTCCATCTTGTAATTGATGTTTAGCTCTTTCTTCTCCCTTTTCTTCACTACCTACTGTAGGAGTTTAATCAACTCTGTCATCTGCATATCTCGTGTTAAGAATTGTGGACTGCCGATAATGTATCCTGATATAGGACTTCTTTGAGAATTGTCTGGCGAGAAGACACATCTTTGTCTTACACCCCTTTCTATTTCTGTATATTTAGGGAATTCTTTTTCTATCCGTATACAAGCGATTTGCTGTCAGTATAGGTTCTGGATTTTGTGACGTACCAATCGTTTTTATCAAACGCTTTTGCATCTTACTTATAAAACCCAGGTTGTGTGTGTGTGTCTATTTGTACATGGGATCAGATTTCCTGCATTTTTCAACCGATTTCAACAAAACTTCACAGGACTACATAAAATTACCTGGTGGTGGATCTGACGGCACCCAAAATTGGAAAAACACAATTGTTTTTGCACAAAATCAATTTGAAAGCACGGGTAAGGGCCATTTATGCAGATTTTTTGCAGTCTTTGGGACGATGTTTTGTTACCGAGCCACCAAAACAAAGCATATGGTCTAGTTTCTGATAGCGCTAATGATTGGCTATCTAATAAGTACCAAATTATTTACATTATTCGGATTATTATCCTCATCTTTGTTGCCATAGGCCTTCTTCAGGTGGTTGGAATGTCGAACTGAACCCTTTATTTCGCTCACTGGGGTAGACTGTTCTAGTAATATATAAAACCTAGTTATATATCCTTTTGCATTTTTATCAATTTTAGGCATACGATAACAAAACAGCAAAATCAAAGCAGATATATTTATTTAAATGTATGCCTTTTAATGTATTACCAATGTATTCTTGGAGGTGTTCTTTTAAAGATTGTGTCATGGGAGTAAATAGACTTTAGAAACTGTTAGAACCAGTAAATAGATCCTTAACAAGCAAAAGTTAGAATGACTGCTTCAGACATGTCAGTCATTGATTTTAGTGTATGCACATTTTTAAACGCCTTTCCCTAAACCAGTTTGTATAGAGGTGATGCTAAAAAGTTTATTACCCATGACAAATGATTTAAACTAGCCTTCTTGTTTTTATTTTGATTATTGCATTGCAACCAGTCCTCTTTAAAAATGTGCTCTCAAAATAAAACTGCAAGTCTTGGACAGGAAAATTTTAATCATGTGTGATTTAAAGGATGAATTATGGTAATTTGAATAAATGGTGGATGTTTTCACAATCTGATTTAATGGGCATAAAAGAAAGAAAAATCTTTGGCTATTTTGTATGCTTATTTTGGCTTTATCTGGAAAAAGGATTAGTTTGTCCTGTTATATTGATAATTAGTTGCTAAATTTTGCTAAGAAAGTTGGTTCACGGTATTGTGCTACACAATTTTTCTTGCACCTTCACAAGTCTATCACTTGTCCATGCATCGAATATTGCTGTCATATCTGGTCTCTTGCCTCTGCTATTTATCTAGAGATTCTTGGTAAAATCCAAAGAATCAGCAATGTTACTAGTCTTTATCTGGCATCTTGGCTTCAGTCACTTTTCTATTGTCAAAGCTTCTCTGTACCTTTTTCATAAATATTTTCACTAATTGTTTTGGTGTACTTTCATGAATTTAAGGGTATTGGCACTTAGATTTTGTAATTTTACTGTTGAAATTGCTACATGTAACCATAAGTTCTAGTTTTATAGTTTCTTCTCTCGCACATTTCAACTTCAGAAATATTTTGGGGTTGCTTTTCTCTTAACTATGATCTTCAAAAAATTAAATGTCAAGTCAATTCTCATCTTCTGTCTCCTTGAATTCTGTTTATTAACTGACATTACTTAACTTTTCTTCACCTCCTAAAATCAGTGCATGATGGAAAAAGATTAAATTTTACCTCGTTTTAATTTGACTACCATTGAATTTAAAAAAAAAATTTTTTTTTAAATTTGGATAATGGTTTGTGACACTCTTGACATATTTGGCTGATCAATTGGTGCAAAATATATGGGAAAGAATAAATTATGCCTTATTTTTTCTTAATATTCTGTTAATCTGAATGGATACCAATTTAAAATTAAATGTCTGCCATAAGTCAAATAAAAATTGCTTCGTAAATTTTTACTTACATCTCAACACTAAAACAAAATCTGGCATGATCATAATTTTTTTTTTTTTTAATGTGTTGTTAGAAATATCTACCTGACAAAGAAAACTTTCTGTCTGAATTTCTGGGATGGTATGTTATCACAATGTTTTCTGTCGTTGGATCCGCCAGCCTTCATCTGGTGTATGTTAATCTGGGTAACCTACAGGTAATTCTGAATTGAACAATTTTATTTAATTTATGGCTGTTTTCATTCCAGTAATAAAATAAGAACTAGATGAGATGATTAGATATGAGCAATGAAATGAGAATAATCTACCCACATGAATTAAAGGGTTCAATTCGGAATTGCCTCGATCAGAATACACCTGATAGATGCTGGAGGATTCAATGACTTAAAAGTTCAACACCAAAGGTGTGTAGAATAGGTACCCCCCATGGGGAGTGGTGATACCAGGGATATAAGCTCATTAGAACAGACTTGGTTCCATGCCTTCTCAGTCCTTGAAATAATCCCTTCCTGGCTGACCATGTTTTCGACATGGATGGTCAATTGCAGATTGGTTAGGCTATTTAACCTATAATTGGAAGTTTTGAATTCAGAGTTGTCCTTCTTCTAGATCGGTTGCCACCCAAGGCTATCGGACATATTCTCTCATGCTATTTTATCCATAGCTGGGTGCTGAGAGAAGAAATGGATTCATACCTTTCCCTGGGGTATTGGCATATATGTGAATGTAATGAAATCTACTGGAATTTAAACTTGACTCTCTGATCCCTCAATTTATGTAGCTAACCATTACTCCATCTATAGTCTGTATGAAAATATATTGAAGCTATTTTTAGAATCATATATATATGTGTGTGTGTGTGTGTGTGCCAGCCAATATAATGTGTACAATGGGTAAATTGTTGTCTTTCATATTTTTAATTTTGCACACATATACATTTGTCAACTGCACAGAATAGTAGGTTCAGTTGGGCACTGTCTTTGAGAAAACATGATCCAATTCACTCTGCCAGAAATTTGGGAAAGGCATGCTGTACTGCTTGGAATTTGAACAGGAAGCTCCAATATGGACATCTCAGAGTGTTTGGGTGTCAATCTGACGACAGTGCAGGGGATTTGGAAAGAGTTGGATGAGTCTAATGGTGGTTGTGAAGGTGCAGCAGCTTGAAAAAGTCACTCTGTTTTTTCTGATAAGAAAAGAACTCCTGAATATGTTGGTGAGGGCCTTGGACCCGGTGCAGAGGCCTGCATCAAGTGCCTTGGACCCGGTGCAGAGGCCTGCATCAAGTGCCTTGGACCCGGTGCAGAGGCCTGCATCAAGTGCCTTGGACCGGTGCAGAGGCCTGCATCAAGTGCCTTGGACCCGGTGCAGAGGCCTGCATCAAGTGCCTTGGACCCGGTGCAGAGGCCTGCATCAAGTGCCTTGGACCCGGTGCAGAGGCCTGCATCAAGTGCCTTGGACCCGGTGCAGAGGCCTGCATCAAGTGCCTTGGACCCGGTGCAGAGGGCATCAGTGCTTGGACCCGGTGCAGAGGCCTGCATCAAGTGCCTTGGACCGGTGCAGAGGCCTGCATCAAGTGCCTTGGACCGGTGCAGAGGCCTGCATCAAGTGCCTTGGACCCGGTGCAGAGGCCTGCATCAAGTGCCTTGGACCCGGTGCAGAGGCCTGCATCAAGTGCCTTGGACCCGGTGCAGAGGCCTGCATCAAGTGCCTTGGACCGGTGCAGAGGCCCATCAAGTTTGGACCCGGTGCAGAGGGCCTGCATCAAGTGCCTTGGACCCGGTGCAGAGGCCTGCATCAAGTGCCTTGGACCCGGTGCAGAGGCCTGCATCAAGTGCTTTGGACCCGTGGAGAGGCCTGCATGTGCAGAGGCCTGCATCAAGTGCCTTGACCCGTGCAGAGGCCTGCATCAAGTGCCTTGGACCCGGTGCAGAGGCCTGCATCAAGTGCCTTTTGACCATCAAGTGCAGAGGCCTGCATCAAGTGCCTTGGACCCGGTGCAGAGGCCTGCATCAAGTGCCTTGGACCGGTGCAGAGGCCTGCATCAAGTGCCTTGGACCGGTGCAGAGGCCTGCATCAATGCCTTGGACCCGTGCAGAGGCCTGCATCAAGTGCCTTGGACCGGTGCAGAGGCCTGCATCAAGTGCCTTGGACCCGGTGCAGAGGCCTGCATCAAGTGCCTTGGACCCGGTGTATCCATTGCACCCTGTATTACCCACAAACTACAGAACTTAAGCCATTTAACTTAATATAAAAATTATTTCAAAAATACTTCTAAAACAAAAAAATGTTAGCAAAGCAATTAACTTTGCATCAGAAGCAGGTGTCTTCAAAACAGGAGAAAAGCAATTAAAAACAAAATCTTTGTTTTCAGTTTGTCTGCTGTTTGTATATAACTGGAAGATGAAGATGTTAATAACTTGAATATAAATTGCTCAGATGTAAATCTGAAACTGAAAGATTACAAAAGCACTGAATAATTTATACTAATAACAATCTTAAAAAGGGGTGTCTGCCTTTTATTTGCCAAATGCAACAAAAAAACCTGTGCAGCCATATGTGATAAAAACAAAACCTTAAACTGCATAGAATGTATGAAATGTTACGACAGATTTGACAATAATTGCCAAAAAGTTTTCCAATAAGTGAATTATCTCTCTCTTTAATCACTAAAATAAAGCATTTCTCCCCTTTTAGACTGTTTTTAGAGATGATGATTAATTGTTCAATTATCCTGTAGACAGTAGCCAAATCAGTGTTCTTGTGATCTGTTGAAGAACGGTTGAAAGGAACTTAAGTTGATGGGGATTAAAACCTTGTTACCTTTCAGTTCAGTGCATTAGAGGTGATGTATTGGTTAAGGAATCTACAATTAGTGTCAACTTTAAACAAAAAAGGTACTGGACATCTAAGGAAGGCCGTCAGTGTACAGTGACCGAAATGTCAAAACAAGATAGCAACAAGTGGTAAGGCTTTTCCTGAACAAAGAAATGTAATGAGAGGAATATCTTGAAAGACTTTGAGAAAAGAAATAAGAATGTAACTTTACGGGGGGGGGGTTGTTTTATTTAAGACTATAATAAACTGTTTCTGCTTTTGTGCAGGATACTCCAAAGAGGAAGAAAAGAAAGAAAGCCGGTGATGATTGCCCTTCTGCTGCTGAAGACTCTGGTTTGGTTGCTCTTGGAACAACTGCAGGAAGTGTTTTATTGTACAGTGTGGTTAAGGGAGAACTTCACAGTCGTCTGGTAAGTTGGGAAAGAGTCTCCACCCATCTGTAGGTATTGTATTCTGGTTTTGTTTTTGTTTTTTGTGGGATGGACTTGTGTTTACAAATCAAGCAGTGAACCTGGATTTTGCATGTATCTCTTTGCTGCCCTCTCACTAACAAAACTCTCACAGTTTAATATTGTATTTATGTAATTTATATTGGGGAATATTGTTCTATATCAGAGTGTTTATAAATATAGACATTGTATATAGGAAATAGCACTGCATAGTGTCTGTCAGTTTCATGCCTCGGTGCGGTCTTCAGATTATCTTTCTCCATATATATATATATATATATTATATTATATTATATATATTATATTATATATATATTATATTATATTATATTATATTATATTATATTATATATATTATATTATATATATTATATTATATTATATATATTATATAAAAAACAGACCACTTTAAGGTTCCGTTATAATAACTTATTTCACCAGGGTCCTTTTAAAGGACGCCGGGTTATTAGATAGCACTTAAAAAATGATGGGTAGTGTATTTTTTTGTAATTTAACAGTGTGTAATAGGGGTAGTTAGAGAGACATGGTAGAGTTTAGGGAGGGTTTAATTTAAAATCCCTCTCGATCATACTTAGTATTGGAGGAGGAGGAGTGACTAGACCATGACCTGTTTAAACGGTTAACTTAACGGAAGCGGCATATTGAAATGTTTGATGGTAATTTAGATGTCAAAAAAAAAAACAAAGAAATTAATATATATACTTATGGAAATCCTACATATACATACGTTCATTTACATGCACAATAAAATATATATATGTGTGTATATATATATATATATATATATATAGTAATTGTTTAAACGTTGCTGAAAAGAATACATTTTATGTCTATTAATTTTAACTTTTTTTTTTTTTTTTTTTTTAATCATTATAATAATAATAATAATATTGGTTTTGGAAATTTTGTGCCTCTGGAGCATAGTCCTGGGTATGATGATAAACTACATCTGGCAGCAACGCTGCTTGGAGATTTTGAGGTGCATGGAACCTCCTTCTTAATTGAAATTTCAGCCTTAAATGACCCATAAGGAGTTGATATGCTGTTAAACAAATCAATCAATGAAACCTCTAAAGCAACCATATAGTTGAACTTAATGAACATAAAATATATATGCTTTTTAATTATACCCCCCCCCCCCCCACACACACAAGTTAGGATGAAATATACACTGGAATCCAACAAAATAAATAAAAAGAATAGATAGGGAACATTATCATTTTAACATGTTTGACTTTTATTAAAGCTTTATCAGAGAATGAGGTAAGGAGAAAAAGACTAAAGAAATTCTGGTATTTTTACTTTTGTTTGATTTTCATTGGTCAATCATGTTTCATGTGCACTCGACTTGTTAAACATTTGTATAATTTGTGGCAATCTGAATTCAAGTCGACCAGTCTTTTTAAAGTCTCAAGAAATCAATAGATTCTATATGTAATTGTTAGATCATATAAATTTTTATCTCTGAATTGTGGGGAAATGTATGACAAAGTGGAAAAGAAAGTTTTTGTCTGATACATTTCATCCTTTGTGACTTGTTATGTTAGTGTGACGACACATGTACTTCAATTAATCTGAAGTCCCAAATGGTGAAATGTGTCACAAGAACTTTACAAAATCCACACATCCAAGAAACTAGACATTACCAATAACATTTCTAACAACATAAACTTCATAATCTTACCCTCTACACAACTTGTAAGTAAATTGGATATCCCTAATACTAGGATCGCCACATTCAAGACAATTGTAGAGTTGTTAGAAAAATAAATAAAATAAATCCATCTACAATTCAGTTGCAGGTGCTTCTCAAGTTAATTTATTTACTATGTAAAAGCAATTATGTTGAAAAACCTCACAAAATCTAATAACATGTATCTACAACCATAAAAGATTTGTTTCGCCAATCATACAAACTCACTTGTAGTACACAGGAACAACTTTGATAACTTTGATTTTTTTTTTTTTTTTTTTTTTTTTTTACAAATGCCACCCAAATTTTAAAAGGACATGATTCTTTGTCAAAAACACTTTGAGAGCTGATTAATAAGTATGTTAAACCCACGTGAAAAATATATTACATCACCAAGTTCAAGAATCTAATGTATGTTTATGTAAAAAAAAAAAAAAAAATTCCCAAATCAACATGCAAAAAAAAACACAATTCATGTCTATTAGACACACTTATGGATATATATTATCATCTGAATTCCACATAGACAAACTAGAATTATTATACACTTACAAAAAGGAATTTTTTTTTTCCCCCCTTTGGAGTTAGGCTTGGAGTTGATTAATTTCTTTGGGCACATCATCTCTCCTTGTATTTGGTATGCCACAAATTATATAAATGTTTGTTTAACCAAATGTAAAAATACCAGAATTTTGTTGTTATTTTTTTTATCCATCTCTCATTCTCTGATGAAGCTTTAATAAAAGTGAAACATGTTAAATTAATAAACCTTTCCTATTGGCTCTTTTTATTTATATATGTGTGTGTGTATATATATATATATATATATATATATATATATATATATATATATATAAATAAAAAGAAAGAACAGTAAGATATATAATCTGGTGTTCTTATAGATATTTTTATTTTTACAAAATAGTGCTCAATGTGAATTTACAGAGCATTAATATTATAAATTAATTGATTTAAAATATGCTTTTTTTGCTACACAGTTCAACCATGTTTCAAAAATGGAAGCTAAAAGCCTCAAAATTTTTTTTTTTTTTTTTTTTTTTTTTAAAATTGTAGTTAAATAAAACATTCTAACCTAAGCACCTCTCGCAAAGTACTACCGGCACTTAAATGAATCCAATAAAACACCTACAGTAAAATGAAATTATGATGAAAAGCTAGAAAATGTAGGTCATTGAATGACCCGCGTCCTTTGTACATACATGAGAAACTATATATTACTAAGTTTATAAAAAATAAAGTTGACTAAATCAGAAATGAATTAGCTATTTTTGCGGTAATTGCCATAAATTTTACTTAAATAATATTCAAATATAAAATTTTTAAATATTGTGACCTGGTAATATACATACTGGAAAAATAATTTTACTTACTGTAAGTAATTCTAATACATTAATGCTGTTCTTCTGTGTGTGATAAATGATGTTAGTCTTGTCTCTTATTTTTATTTTTTTTCTTATGCTGTTTTTTGTTACTACAGGAAAATGGCCACAGTGATGTTATCAACGATATCTGTTGGCATTCTCAAAAGAATATCTTGTACACATGTTCCAGTGACAAACATTTAGCAGAGTGGGATTTATCACTTGGCAAAGTGAAATAGTAAGTATTAATGACAACTTTTCTGCTATTTTTAAGAATATTGAGTTCTCGCATACTTGCAGTAACACTTATTTTCAGAAAACTTTCATCAAGCAAATGTTTCCTATTTAAATTCACTTTGATTCCTATATTTAGAAACATGAGATTTTATGATTGTTAGAAAAAGCAAAGTGAAAAAAACACTGGATTATGTGGTGGTGGGGGGGTGAATGTTGTAAAAACAGCATCGAAAGAAAATAGCTGTTTTATGACCAGAAAAATGGAGGCACTTAGTCTATTCTCAGTTTTTACTTCCTAAATGAGGTGTGGGCTTAAATTTGCTCAGAATATTTCATTTTTGGGAAGTCCTGATTTAAGAAATGCTTGTTTCTCTTTTAAACATGATATTGAACTTTTCATATTTCTGTGTATTCTTTTTGTCTTGATCTTGTATTAACAGCAATCTGGTCTTATTACTATTAAATAATAAAATCTATGGTAACACTAAGATTACTTGGTGCCACTTAAAGGGAATAAACACCATTTTATTATGATATGGAATTTTGATAATTGTAAGCAAAAATTAAATAAGAATTCTGTTATAAGAATGGAAACATATTTAGCACCAATCATCGTCTCCCAGAAATTGATATATTTGAATTTTTTCAGCAGGCAATACTGATTGAATCAGTTATTGGCATAAAAATGTAATCAGCAGGCCAGAGTTTAAATTCTGCCTGAGGTAGTTAAATTTAATTATTATTATTAAAGAAAAGGCATGAATCCATCTTTCTTACCCATCTATCCTTGGTCAAGTAACCAAGAAGGATAAATGTATTTGAAACAATACAGATGTCAGCAGGGAATTCCCTTGCCCACATTTCCCAAATACAAACCAGAGCAATTCTCAATTTGTTTTGACAACTGGGATTACTTATAACTGATTTATCGATTAATTTAGGTTTTTATTAAAATGAACATTTAAAGTTTTTTTTCTTTCTCTTTTGGCTGTATGGAAGTTGTAAAAATTCTTTCCTGCCATTGGCCCATTACTTTTCATTATTTTATTGATGTTGAGTTTTAATTTTTTTTTTTTTTTTTTTTTTTTAATTTATTTTTATTTTTCTTAATTTTAATCAGTGGTGTGATTAAATGCTTTCTATGTTTTTCTTGTTGTCCAGTAAATGGAAGGCTAGCAACAGTGCCCTTTACAGCATCTGCTTGGTGTCGAAAAACAGATTAATCTCAGCTGGGAATCTTATTAAATTGTGGGACCTTGAAAAATACGAAGTCATTTCGGTTAGTGTTTTTATTCTTTATAATCTGAATGCTGTTAACATTTTCCTGCTTAGAACTCATCATACATTATTATCATTTTGACTATCATTATAGAGTAAGTGTCTATGGTTAAATGACAGAACTGCCCAAACAAACAGAATTGACAAAGTTTGTAATAAACAATTACAAGAAAAGAACAGAAAAATACTGAGCAAGCAAACAATATATGCAAGACATAGCAACAGTAATAAGATAAAAAGGTTCACAAACTATGAATTGATGTTGATATACAAGAGTGGATTTGTATTAATGAATGTAATATTCTGACTTCAAGACCGACCATATTTGAGTCGGATGAAACAGAAGTGGCCTCTTATTTCTCAGGAGGAAATCCCAGCATGCATCTGTGTGGTTTTTGCCTATAAATTTGGGAGTGAAAAGTATTTTGCAATCATTCCCCTCTTATGATTAAAACCAACACTGCACTTCTCGACTTCGATATAAAAATGTTAGAATACAATGGTAAATACCAAAATCCACCCTTTTGAATTTAACCCAACTCTGTAAAACCCTTGTAACTCAGGCCACAGTCAAAAGTCCACTGCAAAATTTTGTATGCATCTTGGCATAAGGCAGACAAATTTGTCATCAAATTATTAAAAAAAAAAAAATTTAAAGATATAGATTTTGAAAAATTAAAGGTTTAATATTATGGTCATGGTCAAATTATCTTCCCTAACCTCTAAACAAAATAATAAATACATCACCTTTTAGATTTATCCAAAGAATTTAAAATGAAGAAAGATCGAGGTCGATCTGAAATATCAAATATAAATAAATACTTTCATAAAAAAAAACATTATTTTTATAATTTGCAACTTTTTAGTTGATTTTTATATATATATATATATATATATATATATATATATATATATATATATATATATATATATATGCACGTGAGAAAAAAACAGATACTGACATTTTCAACATTGTGACTATTTTCCAAAATTTACTTTTTTTTGGCAAAGGTCAAAGGTTGATGTCTCTGGAACTCATTGGCCAAGAGATGTAAAATACGTATCATTCAGTTTCCATCATGAAGCTCTCTATAAGTGTACCAAAGTTGAATAAATATTTGTTTTAATACATTTTCTGTTTATGTGTTATTTTTATAGATACAGATATTCAAGTAAATGCTCTGTTTATAATAAACGGTATTAACTACATTTACCAGCCTGAATGTCAGAAATTCCATAGAAAATGTGACATATGACAGGTATAGAACCATCATATAACCTAACATGCTATACCATTTATCTAAAGAGGAAGCATCTGGTTAGTAAGGTCAAATTACTGTTTTTTAACTCCAAACTTCCCATGATTTCTCTTGAATAATCATACCTTAATGCAAACAAATGCCATCATATATTATGAAATGGACTAAGTTTGATAATTATTTTAATAAATTATTTTTATAGATACAAACATTTGAGTGAATACTGTTTATAATAAACGGTAATAACACCATTTACCAGCCTGAATGGCTGAGAAATTTCATAGAAAATGTGACCTCCAGCATATAGCTTGACGAAAATTGTTAGAAATTTTGTGTTTAGAGTAATTAAGAGGAATTAAACCCTCCATTATTTTTTGACAACAGTTAATTGAATTATAATACAGAAAATCAATTATTTTGCAAAAAGTCACATGGTCCTAATGTATGTATATGTATCCGAGTTTGGTTAGCATATGAAAGTTTTTATATATATATATATATATATATGAGAGACAGAGAGAGATCTGGTTAAATTTGAAGGAGTTCTTCTTTCTTGCATTGATGGAAAGTTGGGGAAAAAAACATTGATTTGGAAATTCGTAAAAAACCCAATAATTGTTGGAATTTAATGAAATTTTCATGACTTATTCACAAATTAAATTATTTGGCAAATTTGTTTCCTTTCTTTTTACATTTGTTAACCGCCTCCTACTTAAGCTAAGATTCATACCTGTACAGATTTATTTTAGTTAAAAGCAGGACTCCTTGAAGACTTAAAACATTTTTTGTGTTTTGTCAAACAGAAACACCATTTACTGAGATTCTTTTCTGTATCATAAAGTAAAAATGCAATAAAACCAAGACATTATTTAATTAGAAAACTTTTACTTGTTTTTATAGATAAGTTATATTAAGGACACTATTGTCTTAAGAAAAAAATATTTTTTGGTGACTAATGAAAAGTATGTTGTGACTCTTTGGTCTTTTACTGACATTTCTTTCTTTCTTGCCAGAAATACAGTGGTCACACAACAGAAGTTCTACAATTGTTACCTGTTATTAAGAATTTTCAAACTTTTGAATCATCCTATTTCTTATCCGCTGCTGTTAATGACCGACTTGTCAGTGCCTGGTAAGTTTTTTCCTCTTTTTGCTGCTTTCTGCTTTTGACGACAAAATTCCAAAGTTAGGTGCAATGGGATGATCTAAAAGATGCAAAAATCTAGTTTTACTTTAATCCATTTTTAAGTTTTGAAAAAGATAATAAACATCTGGTATTAGTTTTTTTTTACATATGGAATTATACACCCTTGTGCAAATTAATTGAAATGACGGCTTTAGTTTCCTTTCTTTCATCATACAGTCAGTTTTAGACCCACTGGAGTGACAGGGTGTAATTGATTTCTTTTTTCTTTTTTTTTTTCTTCCTCAGATTAGGTCATTTGCAGTGGTAATATGAATCTATTTTTGGGGTCTATGATAAAATCTGTTTGGTCTTGAAAAATGTTGCGTCATCCGTGATTGCATCAGATTTACATCATGTCCAGACACTATTGTCTCGGCTGTCAATTAGTTGTCCTACGGCCATTGTCTGCAATGGACGTTACTTCAAGGAAGCGTATAAAAATTGTAACGCTGCACGAACACACTGTCAAGTCTTACCAGTGAGAAAATCAAAGTACTATAAACTCTCCTGATTTAAATCCAATGAAGAATCTGTGGTCAGTCTGCAAGTAACGACTTTGTGGAATGGACATACGAAGTGCTAACATGTGCATTGGGTCATGTTTCATTAGTCTTTAATTTCTGAAACGGGTATGAAATCTAGGTTTCTACTTCTGATCAATTTATAATCAAAGCATATGTGTGGAAGTTTAAATATCTGGGAAGTGTTTTGATGGAGGACGGTAGGTACAACGCTGAGCTCTGAAGACGGATTGGGGTAGCCGAGGATGCATTCCGAAAGCTGGGCAGTGTACTGTGAGACATGAGGATTTCTTTGGTGACAAAGAAAAGAATAATGAGTTGCTACATGACATCTGTCCTCCTATATGGCAGTGAATGTTTGATGGTCTCCTCAAAGATAAAGAAGAGACTCAAGGTGGCAGAGATGTGGTTCTACAGAAGGATATCATGGAGTGTGTGTGTAAGCAACAGTGAGGTCTTGGAGAGGATGCAAACCAGGAGGAAGCTTATACTTAAAATGAGGAATAGGCATATGAAATTTCTGGGACATAATGAGAAAGGAGGGCTTGGAGAATCTGATACTCACAGGTTGAATAGAGAGAAAAAGTGATGAAGGAAAGTAAAGCATGACATATCTAAAGCAAGTGGATGACAATGTGGTCTGGGGAGTTGGCAACAGCACAAAACTTATTGAGACCTACAAGGGATAGAGGGAAGTGGAGAGCCATGATTGCTCATGTCCTGAAAGGACATGGCACATAAAAAGAAAAGTGGTTATTACTTGACTCATGCCAGATTTAGTTAAGTCTTCTCTCTTTTCCTTTCAGGTCTGTAAATACTAATAAAGGAGAAAAGAATGCTGTGGCATCTTTTTCTTTACCCGAAGAACCATTAAAATTGTCACTTTTAAATATCAAAGACCAGGTAAGCTGTCTCTTGTTTTTGTAATATTCTCTTTTTTATTTTTAATTATTTTTCATATCTCGCAGTTTTCTCAGCATAATTGTATAATGTTTAGAAAAAGACTTCTAAATTTGTTTCAAGAGAAAAGCCTTCGAGATGAAGGTTTCTCCTCCTGCATGATGGTATTTTTAGTTTCTGTTTTATTAAATTTGTAAAACATATATTAGATCATTTGGCAATATTTAATCTTTGTGACTGCAAAAAAAAAGCATTGTGCCAAAAAGATGGTTATTCCTTTGCCACCACTATTATTGTATTCACTTTTAACTCCCGCAACAATGTTGTTTTAAAAGAATTCAAACACATGAAAGCGTTTTTTTTTTTTTTTATTATTATTATTGAAAATTGACAAAAATATTAATCAGTTGATTATTTTTCTTATTTACTAGAATAAATTTATAGGATTATAAAATTATGAACAAAATATAATAAAATATTTACCATTCTTTATATATATATATATATATATATATATATATATATATATAGTTGTTTTATTAATAAATTTATACAAATATTTGCAGAGGAAAATTAAAATACATAATTTACATGACTGTCTCTCTATATCTCTGTTAGGCCACAAAAATCTCCTGAGCCAACCAAGCATAGAAATGAATACAATATGGGAACCAGTAATAAGGAATGCCAGAGAAAAGTAATAATAACAATGAAAATTGCAATATGAGATCTGGTAAAAAAAAATCCAATGATAACAGCAAAAATTGCAATATTAGCACTGGTAAAAAAAAATGAACTTTGAACTAAGCAATCTTTTAATTTTAGATTTTAACTGAATAAAACATTGTTTTTATAGTTATTTATAAAAATGATAAATAATAAATATTGCATATTCTGTAATTTTTGATAGATTTTTTTTTAATTTATTTCTCTGATAAATAAGTTTTTATATAAAAGATACATAATAAACTCTGACTGCTCTGATTAGCAGTTGCATAATATTGGGGTGTTTGTAGTACCATGTCGTGCATGGGTAGGTGTCCCTGTGTGTATTTCCAGTGGGCAACCCTGAGACTACATTATACTTTAGTCTTGGCCATCTTCTAGCCAGTTTCTATTGCCATAAACAATAGATAGCGATAATTATTTTGTACTTTTCATATTCCAAGCTGTCTTATGCACGACTTTAGTGTTTATATTTGGGCAAAATCTCCCAATTGCAAGGGAATTCTCACTTGAGTCTCCAGATATTTCTTTCATGTGATTTGAACTTGAGTTATTGCACTCTTTTACTCATCACTTTTTTGTTTATCACTCTTCTCAATCTTAAGACTAATATATTAAACAAAGTTTCTGATAATCTAGAAATGGCTCTTTCTAAACATCTATCTATAAATATTTTGTTTGATTTTTTTTTTTTTTTTTTTTTTTGCACATCTTGTCAAGTGGCTTAAACATTCTAATGTTACTAATGTTGTCAATAGTCAGACTTTAAGTTTTTCCATTTCTCAGTCTCTCAATCAAATAGTGGATTTCCCTACACGGTTCCCTCATAAACCTGTTCAACTTTCTTCTCTCTTGTTCTTTACCTCCCCCACTCCTAGATCACAACTTTGTCCTCTTTGCAATTTGGATCACCCTGTGTATCTGTTGATATTTCTTTTGAGTCACCTATTAGAAAGGAACCTCCTATTTGCCAGACTTATTTCTGTTGCCAGTGTACTGATTGGGTTTCATTTCATGACTTTATTTGAGATACCCTTTGGATTGATATTCTTAACTTTCCTATTGAAAATTGTGCCACAGAGATTTCTTCTTGGGTTAAAGCAGGCATTGATGCTTTTGTATGTTCTTGCAAATATCAAGTGAAACCACAATGTTTTTCTTGGTTCACACAAGCCTGTTTAGCTGCTATAGCCCATAGGAATCACTTTTTTAAGTTGTACTAGTGTGATAATTCTGATCACAACAGACACCTATTTATGACTACTCAAAGTAATTGTAATGGTTCTTAAAGAGGTTATGTCTTTACTGATAGAGGCTGTAGGGTATCTCATTCTAACAAATTTGATTCTTGTGACTACTGGCATCTCTGTAATAGTGTCTTAAATAAGAATAAGTCTTCTATCCATCTGCACTTCACTCTGAGGTGTTAACATCTGCTGATAAATTTAAAATGTTTTGCTCATAAATTCTCTTTAAATTCTACTCTTGGAGTATCTTTGCCTGACTTTCTACTTAGAACCTCTACAGTACCTAGACTATAAATTTAAGTGCAGTACTTGATCGGGGGCAAGTTCATTGCACATTTGAAATGGCTGGATAAATTCTATGCAGTTTCTTCTGTCAAATTTTTGCTTATGGAACTCTCTTCTGGCTTTTTGCTTCTCAGTCTATTTTGCTCTTCAAAAATGTAAATGCTATGTCAGTCGCTATCTTCTGTCAGTCGCTATCTTCTGTCAGTCGCTATCTTCTGTCAGTCGCTATCTTCTGTCAGTCGCTATCTTCTGTCAGTCGCTATCTTCTGTCAGTCGCTATCTTCTGTCAGTCGCTATCTTCTGTCAGTCGCTATCTTCTGTCAGTCGCTATCTTCTGTCAGTCGCTATCTTCTGTCAGTCGCTATCTTCTGTCAGTCGCTATCTTCTGTCAGTCGCTATCTTCTGTCAGTCGCTATCTTCTGTCAGTCGCTATCTTCTGTCAATTCTTGTCCTATTTTCTTAATTTGTAGTTTTTCTCATATTCTCTAACACTCAGTAACCCCTTGCATCCTAGTGGCTTTGTTGCCTTTCTTAGAGTGAAATGATTAAAAAAAAAAAAATTCCATTGTACTTGGTCCATATATTTATATAATCTTATCAATAAACAATGCCAAATGAGTCAAAAGTGTACACAAATAATAGTGTGTCAAGGGAATAACCACCCTTTTAACACCCTTTTTATTTTTAAGGCAGGAAGGTTAGACATTTTTTATTATTTCTTATTAAAGGAAAGAATGGCATTATTTACAGAATTGCTTTTGTTTACATCAAAATGTTTACGAACCCCCCCCCCCCCCCCAGCAATTGAATCCCCCCAGAATTAAGAAAATATTTTAGTGTTTGAAATGGAGTGTTGCATGAAGAGGATTTGGTATAGTGAAGCATTTTAGGCTTTGTTTTATTGATTTTTTTTTTTTGTTTGCTATAAGACAAGACCATTTATATTCACCAAAGCCAGCATTTTTACTCCAATTCATTGTTGTATTAAAGAAGTTGGACACAAAGGTTATGTAGTGATTTCTCTTGAAACCCCACCAGTGGACCCAAGCTGTCATAATCAATTGAATGCACAGCAAAGCCTTTCACAGAGAAAGTCTTACTTCCCTGTTTGGATTTGTTTAATCAAGGGCGATAACCACTTCTTTTTACATTCCTTTCTAACACAAAAGGAATGATTTTATTGCTAGTCATTGGAGCAGCGTTTCTCAACTAGTGCATTCAGGCACACTAATATGTCCTGAAAGGTAGCCATGTTAACAAAAGAATAATTTATGAATTTTATATAAAAAAAAAAAAAAATTTTTTTTTTTTTTTAATCTAGACACCAAACATATGGCTTCCATGTCTAAGTTAATTAAGCCTTTCTCATTTCATATTTTAAACTGGATGATAAATTCCTTAATCTTAAAAGAGTGGATAATCCTTTCTCTTTTGCCTTTCTCAAGGGATTTAAATCCACCAAAAAAATATTCTTCATAAATCCCTTGAGAAGAATGCTGAACCAAGATTTTCTTTTTTCAAATTGTGTGACTAATTTTTCGTTATTAAATTTTAAAGTGTGCCCCAGAGTTTTTATTCTACAAGTGTGTCCTGAATTATAATAATAATGAGGGGCTGGGGGTTGAGAAACACTGCTTAAGTACTCAATTATTTGGTGAGAATTTATGATGAACCATTATTTCTTTCTTATTTATTTTTATTTTTGTTTGAGAAATTCTTGTATAGTTAAACATTATGCATCATATGGTGGTTTCAAGAGATTATTTCAACAGGTCATAAACCAAAGTTTTTTTTTTTTCTTTTTTTCCTGACTAAGCTTAAACCATTTATGTACAGTCATTACATCTGGGTGCATAGTAAAAATCTTAATTTTCCTTCTTGCATTTCTGTCTTATAAAATTCATACAGTGGGTAATGGTGAAAATGATAGTGAAGCAATGATCTTTGCAGAAAGATAGACATTCATAGAAATGACTCCTCGCCTGTTAATTTAAATTTAATTTCTGTTATTTACCATTTCACTTCAGTTTTGCATATTTTGAGTCTTGAATACATTTTCTGGCTGACAATATTTTTATGAATTGACTAAAATGAAATTTTGGCTAGAATAAAACACTAATTGTCTCTGCTCCAAAAATATTCACCCAATTCTCAAAAAAAAAAAAAACCAAAACAAAAAAGTAATTGCAATCCGGTGCTTTGTGATTTGAATTTATGTAATTTTTAATGGATGTCTCTAGTGCATGGTTAGAATGTTAATATTCTGACCTTGATGTGTAACGGTTGATTTGTCAAGGCATGGTGGGGGGGTACCTATTATATTTGCATGATAGAATGGGCAGTTATTTTTATTTAAACATTCTTCGATCATTCAGAGTATTTTCTTTTTTTTTTTTTTTTTTATTCATGGTAAATAATAAAGTTGGTTCTGATATATAAAAAAAAAAAAATATCTAATAAAGAAATACTTTTGTTGACAGTTCTTGAGAATGTAAATGTATGATTATAGTTTCATGTTTAAAATTCTAAAAGTAGATTTTTTGAAGCAATAAAAAAAATCCCAACATTTTATATCGTAAAAGTAATGTCAAGAGAAAGACAATCTTTTTCAGCCAGTTGGGTGGTGGGCATGTATGTTACTATTTTTCTATTTAACTTTTGCTAATACAATTTAGCTAAAAATTAACTTTTTTTTATACATTATAATTAAATTAATTGGGATAATCTTTCTTTGTTTCTTGCGTTTTTTCTTTTTTTTCTTTTTCTTTTTTTTCTTGTCATAATGTTAATCAGATTTTCTTAATTAGTCTTTCATTCTTGTACAAAAAAAGTAAATGAAGACTTTGAAAAGTAATTTTTTATTCTTTTTCCAGCCAATTCATTTATCTGTTGTAACAAAAGGTGGGCAGGTTTTATATTTTGAACATGTATTAAATGGGTAAGTTGATTTGGAACATTTCAAACTACATTTTTCTTCATTTACAAAACACTTTTTTTTTTTTTTTTTTTTTTTTTTTTACATTGGTAATTTAAAAATTAGGTAACAAAAACTAACTAAGCAAAATGGCCTTCTTTATTTTCTTTTTGTTATCTATAAAGATTTTAATTCTAGATTTCTGAATTGGCAGTTCAGTATTGCAGCTGGATTCAAGTTTATAGATTTAATTTTAAATAATTGACTTTTTCCTGGTGTAGAGGTTTTAACTATAAACATTTGTCAATGTTTATGTATTTGAAAAGGTGAATGTGGTAAATGTTTTAAAATCTATTTTCATAAGAAAAAGAGTATTATTATTCTTCGTGATGATGAAAGATTAAACTTTCTTCCAAAATGTCTTGATAATGTCGGTGATTATATCTATAATGATTAGCTAGGCTGATTTGTAGACCTTGAAGATTTGTTTTCAAGGCATCTTTGTGTCTCTTATACTTTTTTTTTTTTTTCCTTAATGTATGCCCATTAATGACATCCGTCATAACCTGTGTAGAAGGATTCAGAATGTGTGTATCAAATCTTGTGTATACACATGCTAAAAACATGGACTATAAGAAATGCATTTTTTCTTATTTCAGGAACATGAAGAAACCACTGCGTTCAAAGCTAACTATCAGGGTTAGCAGCCCTACAGGCAAAGCATTTCCTATTTTAGCCTCATATCTTGTTGATGATAATGATCATACGATTATCATTGCTTATGGCTCTTTTCTCAGGCCGGTATTTGAACGAGTGGTAAGCATTATTATTTTTACGTTGTTTTTTTGTTTTTTTTTTCCCCCCTCTCCTGTAAATGAATTGGCAAAATGTTCTGCTGAAACATTTTTACTTAATCTGTTGTAGGATGTGATTTTTGTCTAATCAGAAGCTACTGTTTTACTGGAAACTGTTTTTAAAAAAGTATAGGGGGGGGATAATCAAGAAAAAATTTTTTTTACATAAAACACTGATCATTTTAATTCTAAACAATTACAGAGCATTTATTAATATTAATGTATTCAGTTAAATTTAGTATTTGTTTTATAATCTGTAAATTTATATTGATATTCCTGAAGTTCTTGTGAAATACTTTGCTTCTTATATTGAATTATCTCCCTTAGAAGTTGATACTCTAACCCAGGAGTCAGCACCCCTACAAACAATTTCCAATGGTACGCAGCCGCAAATGACATCCTGAAACAATAATTTCTAAAACACAAAGAAGATATTTAGCTGTTTCAATTTTAATATATACTAAAGCATATATACTCTATACAATATATTTTAGAATAGGTATATTGACCTTGACTTATATAAAAAATGTGTGCTGTTGACAAAATGAATGATTTTAAAATCCTAAGTCAGCACATAGTTAGCAAAAGGTTGCTGACCCCTGCTCTAACCTGATGGAAAATACATGCTCTGATAATAGTATTTTCATTGCTTTAAATAGCATAGTCAGTGTATTATATTTTGTTAATATGAAGAAAATAGAAAATTTAAATGAAAAGACAGTTTTCCTCCTCGTAGATTCTGTAAAATGATTTCTTAGTTTTACATAGACAAATCAATGTCTACTTCGTTATTTAAGGACTTAATTTAGTGATGATTACTAAATAGTGAGCATTAAACTGAATATTTTAGATCAAAATTCAACTAATGATAATCTGTCATGATTACAGACTTCCCTCTTGTAAAGCCTCATTTTCTTTTTATGCTTTTGTTCATTGTTTGCTTTAGATTGGAATTTGTTTTATAACTTGCATCATTAAATTAATCCAGTCTTTCTTAAACCTTTTGAAGCAACAACACACCTAGGAGCAAATGAAAATATCACGGCACACTTAGCAAAATTTTTAAATTGTTTCATAACATTTAAATGTATACAAAGCCATATATTTATTTTAAAAAGATACACACAGGAACTTACTTTATTTCAATGTTTCTATTCAACTATTTGTGCCACATATTTACTGTGAATCCTGTGCCTGGTGGTGTTGTTGTTGTTTTTTTTTTTTTTTTTTTTTTTTCTTCATGATTTCATCAATGTTTGGCCGAATGTGTGATAAGCAGACCCTTATTTCTTCTTTAATTTATTATCGTCTTTCTTGCTTTTTATTTTTGGTATTATTTAGTAGCATGCTAGTGTACCACAGCATGGCTGTTGGGGGATCACTGAATTAACACAATGACTGTAGACTATGGGACTTTACATCATTACAGGTTTGAATCTCAGCAATGAATGGTTTACATTTCTACATTGAATGAATTAAACTATATTAAAAAAAATAATAAAACTAAAATGAAAATTTTGAAAAAAAAACAAAAAAACTCTACTTATGAGGGCTGTAGTATTTGCTCGGCTCCTCTTCTCCCCTGTAAGGTAGAATGTGACTTTTTTTTTTTTTTTTTTGTGAAGAGCTCATACGTGTGTATGTGGGCCAAGGGCAAAATTACCCAGTCCCCACAACCACTGTCATGCTGGTATTATATTACCCTAACCCTACCCCGCCCGGTCGGTGGGGCATCAGAATACGCCGACTGCCCCCCTGCAGAGGGTAAAAGTCCCTCAATGGGGCCACCTGTTGGCCGTGGGTGGCGACCCGTAATGTCTGGGGACGGGATCCTGGTGGTTGAGCAGGTTGTAACCCAGGTGTAAAGCGATCACAATCTTGTAACACACCACTTTGGCCCTTACCTGGGCTAGGCGGGCGGTCGGAGGGGCCCGATCCGATCAATCGGCTGGTCATGTCAAGCCCCATCATATATAATCCAACCCAAACCTATAACTGACACTCCTCTTCCCAACCAAAACTAACACTTAACCCTAAATATGTGATGGAAGGCGGTGGCTGAGGGTCAATCAATTTGGGGGAAAAAAGTATCTGACACACTTGCTAAACCTTCACAGCCGTAATACTTGGAAAAACGGAAACAAAGGAACATGCGTGCTCAAAGACTCCTCCCAAAAAGAGTATATCATTCACGTAGCCCCCGACATGGCAAGGCTAATGGGTTTCCCCTTGACCTGTCCCAATCTGGACTCCGTGGTGGGGGGAGCGAGAATGATGAACAAAAAATAAAAAACAATCAATGGAAAAAAGAAATCTTCCAAGAGACCACATGTGGATAACGACTCAGAAACAGAGAATGAAAGTGAGAACTTCCCACGGTTTATTGTACTCAAGCAATAAGCCAAAAATCATTATCAGAAATTTCTCCGTTTAAAATACAAAAAGCAATATCAAATATCATAATACCAAAAAGGTTAAAAAATTACAAAATGGAACAATACTAATAGAAGTAGAAAAAAAAAAATATATGCGGACACATTGATCAGACAAAAAACTACAAGAGATAGAAATAAAAACCTACCCACACCAAACCCTAAATTACTCAAAGGGAGTAGTAAAAAGTAAGGAGCTCTCCTTGTGCACTCTAGAGGAAATAAAATAGAACTCCAAACTCAAGGAGTTACAAATGTTAAAAAGAATAACAATTAAAAAAATGGAGCTGAGATACAAACTAATACCTACATTATAACGTTCAACTCCCCAAATTCCAACTTCAATAAAAATTGGATATGAAAGTATAAAAGTAGAACAATATGTACCAAACCCTCTACAATGCTATAAATGCCACAAATTTGGGCATCACAGAGATTCCTGTAGAAATAAAAAAATATGTGGGAAATGTAGTGAGAAGGAACCAGAACACAAAGAAGAGAACTGCCCAAATGAGAGCCTATGCTCAAACTGTTTGGGAAACCACTCTGCCCTCTCAAAACAATGCAATATATATAAACAGGAGAAAGAAATAATTAGAATAAAATACAAAAAAAATATATCTTACATAGAAGCACGAAAAGGAAGTTATAAATAATATAAAAGATAACACATATGCTTCCATGGCACAAAAAGCAAATAAAATAAACAATGAAGATAAAATAAAAGGTTCAATTGAAATAACAAATCTATGTAAGGAATTAAAAGCTTTCCTTGAAGAATTAAAAACCTTTTTAACCGAACTTAAATTGGATCAAAATAAAACTCAACAACCCAGATCAAATGGAATAAACCCAGAAGGAGGCAAAAAACTTTGGAAAGAAAACACAGAACAAAAACTCCAGCGAACCTCTTCTTTCCAAACCCAAACTAAGAAAATGAAAAATAAACAAAAAAAAAAAAAAAGTGACAACAGAGCAAGAAAGCACTCAATCAAGATCTAACTCAAAAATCGAGAATCAGTATATCAAATGAAAATAAATTTGAACCTATGGAATATATAGAGATAGAAGAGAAAGATAATAAACAAAATTCAAAACAAAATCAAAAATCTGATCGAAGGACACCACAAGCAGTTGAAGACAAAGCTTCCAAAAAACTCAAGAGATGGAAAAAAAAATTGAGAGGACAAATGATACCAACCTAGTAGGTAACTTTACTCCCAAAAAATGAAAATATAATCATGGCACATAAGATCCTGCAATGGAACTGTCGTGGAATAAAATCAAATTACAATGACCTACTCATACTTATGTCACTACTGTATCCAGCCGTCATCTGCTTACAGGAAACTTTTTTACAAGAAAATACCAACTTAAAAATTAAAATTATAAACAATACCACTATAACCACAATACAGGACATAGAGCTAATGGAGGAGTGTCAATATTGATCAGAAATGACATACCATAAAAAGTAAAGTACACATTAAAACTAAATTACAAGCAATAGCAACACAAGTGACACTAGATAAAACCATCACAATTCTTTCCATTTATATACCCCACAGGAACCAATAAACACAACAGAAATACACAACTTGATGGAGCAACTTCCCAAACCCAGAATCTTACTAGGAGACTTTAACAGTCATAATCCTATATGGAATAGCAAAAAGCTAGATACTAAAGGTAAAATATTAGAAGAAATAATTAACACCCATAACTTATGTCTATTAAATCATAAATCCTCAACCTACCTTAATCCCTCCAATGGAACAGAATCATCAATAGACTTAAGTATAAGCGATCCAGAAATTTGTATGGATTATACATGGAAAACACATAGTGACACATGTGGCAGTGATCATTACCCGATCATACTAGAAAATCAAAAGCCTGCCAAGGAAGAAAAGATAGGCCCCGTCAGATGGAAACTGAAAAGAGCCAACTGGGAGGGTTTCAAAAACAAATGTAAACAAGTACTGATACAGTCAAAGGACACAGACAACTTCGGTAGAATACTTTACCAGAACATTAATAACCATTGCCTCAGAAAATATACCAAAAAAAGCAAAATAATTATAAAAAACTAAACCCTGGTTTGACAAAACTGCCAAAAAGCAGTCAGAAACCGGGAAGCAACATTGCGAAAATTCAAGAAGGAACCCACAACCCAAAATTTGATTGAAATGAAGAAACTCAAAGCAGTAGCACGGAAAACTGTAAAAAAAGAAGCCAAAAGGGAATGTTGAAAAAATATGTAAACAGCCTAAATACACATTCTAAAACCAAGACAATATGGGAAATGATGAGGAAAATAGCTGGAAAAAATCAAATACACCCAATAATACATCTTAAAAGGACAACACTAAAGCAACTAGCAAAAGAGAGATAGCAAGCCTACTAGCAGAGACATTTGCAGAAAACTCTAAAATGAGCAAAAATCAAAACCTACAAAAAGTGTAAACAAAAAGATATAAATAACCAACTAAATTTTTCATCTAAAAATACAGAAGCCTACAACAACCTATTCACTGAAGCGGAACTAATAGAAGCCATAAAAAATCCCATAATACAGCAGTAGGCCCAGACCAAATCCACTATGAATTTATTAAACAACTACCACAAGAATCGCTGAAATACCTTTTGAATATTTTTAACAATATTTGGACTACTGGGAAATTTCCCAAAATATGGAGAGAATCTGTAATTATTCCCATACTCAAAGAAGGAAAAGAGGGAAACAACCCACAAAGTTACCGACCAATAGCATTAACAAGCTGTCTATGTAAGACAATGGGCGAATGGTCAACGCCAGATTGAGTTGGTTTCTAGAAGAAGGAAAACACATATCAGAATATCAATGTGGATATAATAAAGGAAGAAGTACAATAGATCACATAATAAGACTAGAAACAGCCATAAGAGAGGCCAATTTAAACAAACAACATCTAATAGCCATATTTTTTGATATAGAAAAAAGCATTTGATCAAACCTGGAAACATGGTATAATGAAAGATCTGCATAAACTAGGATTAAGAGGTAGACTACCAAACTTCAAAAAGGATTTTTAACAGATAGACTCTTCCAAGTACAAATAGATACTACACGTTCTGATTATCAAAAGCAAGAAGAGGAGTACCACAGGGAAGTGTACTCTCCCTACACTTTTCAAAATAAAAATAAATGACATAATAAAAACATCAAATCAGGAATACACTGTAGCCTTTATGTTGATGATTTTACAATATATTACAGATCAAGAAACCTCAACACAGCAGAAAGACAACTTCAACAATGTTTACATCAAATAAACAAATGGACACTCGAAAAACGGTTTTAAAATATCAAAAACGAAGACAAAATCTGTACACTTCTGCCAAATGAAAAAAAATTACACAATAACCCAACTCTAAAACTAGGAAATGAAGAAATACCAGTAGTTCAGCAATATAAATTTCTAGGAATGATCTTTGACAGCAAACTGACCTTCAGACCACATATCAATTACCCAAGAACAAAATGTTTTAAAGCTCTCCAACTACTGCGAACAGTAGCCCATACAGAATGGGGAGCTAGCAAAGAAACCCTTCTTAAGCTTTATAGAACGTTGATCCGCTCCAAACTGGACTATGGCAGCATGGTCTACCAATCAACAAGAAAATCTTATCTAAAAACAATAAACACAATACATCATGAAGGCCTTCGGAGCCTAGGAGCCTATCCCACCTCACCTATAGAGAGTCTACATGTAGAGGCAAACGAACCCCCATTACAACTAAGAATGGAGAAACTAGCTACTCCATACTATCTAAAACTCTCTTCCTGTCCTTCTAACCCCACACACGATTGTGTACTTACACCAAATCACAAAGAGAAATTTAATCTTAACACAAATAAAATCAAAACATTGGGACTCCGGATGGAAGGAATCATCCAAGAAAATAATTTACCGTCTAATAAAATACTTAAAACCAACCAATCAAACATACCACCATGGATAATCAAAAATCCAAACATAATATTAAGTTTAAACAAATTATCAAAATCAAAAACACACCCCACAACATACATTGAAAAATTCTCAAAAATAAAAGAAAAATATCAAAACTATGAAAGTATTTACACAGATGGATCAAAAGACGAAAAAAAAAACAGGCAGCGCAGCAATAACAAAAGAAACAATTATCAAAAAAAACGCTTGCCAAATGAAGCATCAATTTTCAGTGCAGAAGCCTCACGCAATAAAACTAGCACTAAATTTCATATCAAAAAACAAAGGAGAAAACTATATTATTTTCTCAGATTCATTATCGGTATTAACCTCCTAAAAAAGGAAAAAGACTGGAAAATCCATTAATACAAAGTCTTCTATATAAACTACATTCAATGGAAAAAGCAAAATATCATCTTCTGCTGGATTCCTAGCCATGTTGGCATCCAAGGAGGAGATAAGGCAGATAATGCTGCTAAATCATCTTTAAAAATGACAATTGACGAAAATCTTCAAATTCCATATACAGACTTAAAATCTAAAATATATAAATACATAAGAAACAAATGGCAAAATCTATGGAAAAACCAAACCGAAATAAATTATTTCAAATTAAACCTAAAATAGGAAAATGGGAAATGATCTTGAAATACTCGGAAAAACAAGTTGTCATAACCAGAACACATATAGGACACACATATTTAACTCATTCTCACATATTAAAAAGACAAATCCACCAAAATGTAAATGTGGAAGACTAATCACAATAAGACATATTCTATCGGAATGCAAAATCATAACTAGAATAAGACAGAAATATCTCAATGGAAAAGATTTAAAAGAAATATTCAAAAATACAGACACAGAAAAAATATACAGTTTTCTCAAGGAAATAAAAATCCTCAATAAAATATAAATAGTGTATATATATATATATATATATATATATGCTTATAGACATATATATGCATCTATGAATGTAAACAGTAAAATACACAATCAGAAACGGTCACAAAAAGCAATCCCAAAAAATACAGAAAATTATGAAACCCAACAACCTTTCATCTTTTTATACAAAATAACCAACTTAAATTCATAAATTAATAAGGCTTCGGCATAAATTGACCCAAATAGGAGTTGACATGCCGTTAAATCCAACATCCATCCTAACCCTACCCCTCTAATGAGGAAGTTGCTGTCACTGGGTTGGAATCCCTGGGACCAGGCTCCTCCTCCTCATCTGTAATAAGAGAAATAAATACTATGTTTTGATCCTGCTAAAAAGGCTGAAAAGTGCAAGACTATATTTGAGAGATCTCCGCTGTAGTATATTTACTAAAACAGTTGTGTAGAAAGACTGTCTAACCTTCTCTTCATTATTATTGAAGCATAGACGATTCCATCTGCTATGAGCAAAATGCCTGGTCATGGAACAGTGACAAAAAATGGGTTGCTGAAGTGTAGTACTTTTGTCATATTGACGTACTGTGTTCTCAATTCTCTTGTGTGATTAAATCCTTCTTCATACAACCTTTTGTTGCCAGTGTTTTCTTTATAGTCTTACTAGCCAGCAACTACTGAGTGTTAGATGCATTTTATAACAAAAACTATGATTGTTTATATTTCACTCTCATGATTTCCCGTGGCACTAAACATATAATATTAGGTATAAGAGGGAATAAATGTACAAGTATTTTGCCTCATAATGTGCATGTTGTGTTCTACAAGCTCATTTTAATTTAAGGTTCTATTTTTATTTATTTATATAGCTCGCAATATAACAGGATTGAGAGTTTTTATTTTTACGAGGAAGTTGACTTTTTCTTCATGTTAGACTCCAAGCAACTGCTTCATTTTGGAAGTTTTGTGCAAAATTTTAAACTCCTCCACACATGCTAGTTGATGTCGCAAGAGGCATTTCTTAAATATTCACGCTAATGAACAGAACAAATTCTGATGTTGCAGAAAAATAATTAATTTACTGTTGATTGCATTTTAACTACCAACAAAAGCTGTCAGCATTTTTCGTCATTGCTATGACCTTTACTGCACATCTCTTTAATTTTATGCCGTAGATATTTGTCGTACTTTGGAAAATATTTCATAATCATAGATTGAAATTTTGCTCTTGGTCTGTACATTTTGTGTAGGAAATCAAAAAGGGATTGTCATGGGTCAGGAATTAGGGCTGATGTAGATATTTCATGTTTTGCTATGCTTTCTATTATTTACATTATTTATTATCAAATTTTTTTTTTTTTTTTTTTTCTTCTTCTTGAAATCCAGGTATCCAAAGGGGCACCAGCGGAAATTTGTTTAGAACACTCAGAAACTGCATTATCGATTGTTGAAGAAGGAAATGTACAAAAGGTATAGTCAGCTTTTCATGGTTTTACTTTTTTTTGTTGGGATGCAATTGGATTCATTCGGTCTCTCAGTCCTATTGTAAATTTGACAGATTTTAAACCCAGAATAACCAGGAGTTGACAGGTTTTAGTATCATAACATTAGGGAGTCTCTTTTTAATGATTCTATCAGGTTGTGCAAGTGATGCATATGCACATGCGCACATGTAAGTAAAAGTTTTGTCTCTTAGCTGATTGATGTTACTTCAACATCCAGACTCTGGCGTTTCATAGGCAGACCTGTTCGTCCACTCGTCAGGGGGTACCCAGCAATTGATTGCTTATACTTCTTGATTTTTCTTTTTTATGTGCCTTTTCATTGTAAGTTTTTTTGCATTGTGTGTGTGTGTGTGTGTGTTTGCCTGCCTCTGTGCACACACACACACACACACAAATTAAGATTTAGATTACATGCTGAAACACTACTATAGTTTTGCTACTTTGGCTCATTAAGCAGTAAGTATTCAAGAAAAATTTAGTTATACATAATTACCTTGAGATTAGAAAAGTAGACAATAACATGTTGCTTTCGAAACATTCTTAAAATTTCAGAGTGAGCAGGCAAAGCTCTTCCCAAATAGGCTTATGAAAGATTATGGGGGTGGTGAAAAAATGAATGTTAATTATCCTTGCAGTCCTGTAACATGGCACATGAAAGATTGATGTGGTTTTAAGTAAAATAAAACTAAGATTATTGACCCCCAAAAGAATTCTCATAGTAGTTTATCTTAAGACAAAGAAGGTCTCCTATTACCACAATGCAAAAGTGCACTCTCAATATATAAAATATACAAAAATCAATTCAAGCATGTCAAATCTCAGATCTATGGATTAGTTCTGTCTCTCTCTCTGTCTCTCTCTCTCCCTGTGCTTTGTTCCTTCAAGACAGAGGCAGTCATGTTACACCTTTTTGAAAATAATAATAATCATTATTATGCCTCTTAATATTTTGAGGAACATAGGGCCGCAACAACACCTCTCCAACGGATATGGTTCCAGGCCATCCTCTTCAGCTTGGCCCACTTTGGAGGACTCTTCTTCGGCCATGTCGTTTGAGGATATCGTTGAGCTTTCTGTAACAAGCTAGTTTTTACGTGGAGTAGGTTGTTAGTCTACTGCACAATCCCCAACCTGGAGGATCAGGGTGTGTCTTTCATCTGGCTCTTACCCCTACAGACCTGTTGAACTTGGTTGGACCTGCTAAGGGCCAAAGCCCCCACCCACATAGTTCTGGAGATGCATTGAAGCATGCAAATCATCCTACCATGTCATGGCGACACACCATCAGGATGGAAAAATATAAAAAAATAATAATAGAAATCGATGTTTATTATTGTCTTGGGTACCTAATTGTTTGTGTCACTCATTTCCTTTATTACATACTCTGCATCTCCCTCAGAATTCAGTGGAGGGCAATTTCCCCATTGTTACCAGTTAAAAGACAGCGGTTTGCTGATTTTTCAAAGGACTTTCTCATTTGAAAGATTTGTCTAACAGTTTCCTTGCCATCGCTCTGACCCAATTTAGCCTTGTGTCGTAATGTTAAGCTGAGTAAATATCAGAAACAATTTCAACCTGTCTACTGAATGTGATAGTTGCATTGTGTTCAAATCTTGGCTAAGATCACAATTTAAAATGCTGAACTTTTTAGTGGCTGTTTGCGGTTGTGAAGGAAGCAACCCTGCAGTCTTCAAGTGAAAGACAAAGGAAATGTCTCTTCTTTGACATCATGTTTTCCACTGCAGGTCTTGACAGATTGGTATATCATTATCCTCCTATCTCTAAGCTTAACATAATTTTTTTTCCCTGTAACTAGTGCAAACAAGACTGTTCTTAAGCTGATGTCCAGACCAACATTCTGACACGATATGGATGGTGAGAAAATAGTGTCAAGAAGAACACTTATATGTGTGAGACAAAATCATCCTTGATAGTCATCTGTTTCTTTTATGTTTATAATGTAATAATCATGTTAGTAAATATGTGTAACTATTTATTGACCCATTACTTTGTGGATAAGTGTGTGTGTGTACACATACGTAGTAGAGGACAGATATGGATGTTTTAAAAAATATTAATGTAACTCATACATTGTTATTATGAATGGGTGATTGATCATTGGGCGATCAAAATTAATTTTAGTGAACAATTGTCTCTGAAATGTTAAAGCAGCAGACTAGGGAATGGGTTCAGAATCTTATTTGTCACCCACGGGCATTGACGGAGAGCTGCTGTAAGAAAAAAGCACCCCCCCCCCAAAAAAAAACCTGTTAATTCTATTGCCAATAATGATAAAGGAGCCATAATAAGGAACATATATGATTGCTTATTACATGTGATAAACTTGTTTTCAGGTGATATCTGGTGAGCTATCTAAAGATTTAACAGTCCTGACACCCAGTTTGACAATTTCCAGTGGCCCAGCACCAAATACGTCGTCATCTTCTGGTAAAAAAAAGAAGAAAACTGAGGTATTTATCTCTTTTACTGTTTTATTTTTACTTATTAAAAAAGATTTAACAATAAAGATTTCTTTGACAAGAAAAAGCTTCTTTACTTTCTTCTGTGGAGAAGTACCACCACAGTGATTTTATAAGACTTTTTCCTTTTCTTTCTTTCTTTTTTTTTTTTTTGTTCAGTCAAAATTCTTGATGACCTTTAGACAATCCTTTCGTTGAGAACTTTATTTTTCTCCCTATCATTTAATTGGTATGGTCAGAGAGTTGTGATTTTAAAAAAAAAAGCAACTGAAATTAAATTGAAAGATATACCATTCATCATTAGTAGCAATGCAGATATTTTCATGTTTCTGAACATGCTTCTGATCGGTGGTTACTTTTACTCTGGCCTTTTCCCTGTTTATTTTTTACTTAACAATGATAATTTCCTTTGTGTTAAGACTTCAACAAAGAATGCCCATTGTAGGTCTAATAAAAAAGATATTAGCAAGCCATAACCTCCAAGGTTGGAAAATACATCACCCTTAATTTCCATGGCAATCTAGGGACTGTAATTTCCCTTAGACTGTCTTCCTGGCTCAAAACTGTCATCAGTTGTTTATTCATGGGAAGACATTGATGGTAAAATACCAGATGTGGAGGCAATATGTAGAATTCTGGTGTGGCTATCTTGTGATCTTCCTGCTTTAGTTGAATGTTTTTGGTATTTTTTTTGACAGCATCTTTGTCAATAGTTCCAAGCTTGAAAGTGCTTTTTTGCTCTCTCTCTCTCACTCACTCACTCTCACACACACACACACACACACACACACACACACACACATATGGAAACCTGAAATTTCAAAGTTTTAAAACAGATCTAGCAGCCATGATAAAATGAAGGGAAATAACACAATATTATTTACCAGAGAATGGAAGATTATCAAAAGTAAATTTATAATTAATTTAAATTTTGAAAATCAGGACATGAACTCATTAAAATCCAAGAAAAACAAGAACAGAATTAATATTAACTTCTTGTGAGGAGGACAAGTGCAAATATTACCCTGTTTAAATAAAAAATCTAAGGTAAATTTGAAATAAGAAAAACAATGAAACAGTATTATATACTTAAATGGAAATATAATTTCTTCTACAAAAACAAATACATTATTTTAAATAAATACCTGTTAATTCAAAAATATGAAATTATGTCGATTAAATGTTTACTTTCTTTTTCAAATAATTAAGTCTGTTGTATAAAAATACAAAAGAACTAATTTTACACACAGTGACAAATGAAATGTTTATAACAATGAGAACTTAAATAATACCCATCAAAAAAGTTTTGGTACAAGATTCATTAACAAAATATATTTTACTACTAATGATTTTTTGAGAATTAGTCTAATTTTTTCCCCACTGAAAAATAACAAAACCCAAATTCTTTTATTTTCATTGACTGCCATATTGCATTTAATCTCCATTTTGCTTTTGTAAAGTGAATATTTTTATATCATTTATAATTCCTATTTATTGAGAACAGGTAAATGTTGCAATTGGAAAACATTTTATTAAATGACTTAAACATTTGTACTCAATAAGTGGTTTTTGACAGTAAAATCTTTCACTGAAATGAAATTTCAACACTCCTGTTCTGAACCTAAATGTAATCTTTAAAATCATTTCCTCCTAAAGATTTTGAAAAAAATGTTTTTGCCATTATCATCTCAAAACCCAGCTTTCAAATTGAGTGTAATACCACGGTTCCAAAATTGACCTCTGCCCTAATTAGGCACACATTGTAGCGAATCACCCTCATTCCATCCTTATTCCAATGGCTAAAAGTAAGTTCCACTTGAAATGTTCTGTGAAATCAGTTTTGAAGAGGGTGTTTCCACCGATCACTATAATTTTGTTCAAGTTTAGTGTTAATCGTTATCTTTGCAAACTATTTGCATAAACTGTCTCTCTTGCTCTGTAGTCCTTTGCCTCAAGTGGTTTCCAGGCATTGTACAGGCTGAACCTTACTGTAAAAAAAAAAAAAAAAAAGAAAGAAAGTTCTTGAGAGTGCAATTATCAATTCTTGCCAAAATGTTAACTTACACCCTGGATTTTTTGCAAATATTTCCTTTCTTAAAGGCAACTCATTTTATAAATAAAAATATTTTCTTAAAATTAAAAGAAAATGGTTACCTCCAAGACTTAAATATTTAAAATAAATAAATACATAAAAATAATTACATTTTAAAAAAAAAAAAAAAAATACAAATTCTACCACATTTACTTTTAGGTTATATGTTACATCACTTAGTAGTTTCTTTTCTTACACAGTTTGTTTAAAGAATATATTAGAGAATTCTCAAATTTTAATATTTCTCCTTCAATTCTGTGCATGAATATAAGTTATGAAATAAAATGCATTGTTATTACATTGTTGCCTGGCTGTGGTGGCCCATTTGTGGGGAAAATAGGAAATTGTAATTTACTGGAAATAAATGAACAAAAATGCTGACAGCAATTTCTCGTGGGTGTTCCCATTTTGATGATCTACAGTACAGACTCAAATACCCCCCCCACACACACACAGTAAAAATAAGTCACATCTACATCACTGTAAGTGTTAATTAGTCTGGTATAATTTGCATAATAAAATTCTTTTCAGGTACAAAGATTTGTATCAACAAGACAGCCAATAAGCTTTGCTTTCAGACAATCACCTGTTCTGCAAACTTTTTTTTTTTTTAATTCGGTTATTTTATTTGTCTTACAGTTCACAATGCAAGAACGTTTAAATGCCATCAGCTTTGACAGCACAATTGAAGGACCTCCAACACAGAACCCACCAGTTGCAGATTCTATGGCTGTTTTACTTATGCAAGGACTTATGAGTTCAGACAAGGACATCTTGAATGTAAGTAAAAATTTATTAGCACTCTTTGTAGAAATTTATGCTTAATCAGCTAAGCCCTTCTCAATATCAGGCACCTCTATAATAGCTTCACTTAATTTTGGAATTTCCACATTTTTCAGATCCTTTCACCTCAAGCAAGGCAATAAAGCCACTAAGGTGCAAGAAGTTACTGAGTATTAGAGAATGTGAAAAAACTACTATTAAGGAGAGAGGACAATAAAAGAATAAAAATTAAGAAAACAGAAGATAGAAATTGACAATGCATTTAAATTTTTGAAGATCAATGTTGACTGGAAAGCAAGAAGCTTGATGAGTTCCACAAGCAAGAAGTGCGATAGAAGAAATTATTAGCATAAAACTTAAGGTTACATCTAGGAATTTAAGTGTAAAATGATGAGACCTAGCTGCCAATCTAGTACTGCACTTAAATTCACAAAGTCTAGGTATCATAAAGGAAAGTTCATCAGAGCAATTACCATGAAAGGATTTATTTAATATTATCTTTAAACTATAAACAGATTAAACCAGATTAACTGTTTTAATTGATACATATTATAACATGAATTATTTAAGTGCTGCTGTATAATGCTAATAGATCAAAAATACATCGATCAAATAATTTACAGACACTTCCCAGTATAGCTGAACCCCGCCGCCTTTTGGCAAAGCAGGGGTCATAGAAATTTGGGTAATACAACATCATATCTACAAGACATGGATTGAACAACATCAACATTTTTTGACTTTTCTCTGCAATTCTGCCAATTATGGTTGCTGACTTCATTTTCTGGAATTTTTTTTTTTTTTTTCTTTTTTTTTTTACTTTTCTATAATCTTGATAGAGCTCAGATTCCATGAATTTTTGGTTGGCCATTGCTGTACCTCAGATATTGTTTTTAATGAAAACTCTGGACTAGTTTGACAGTTACTGGATCATTATGGAGACATAGATTTTACAAGCCAGTCATAGTAACAGCATTTAGGTTAATGAAGAAACTACTATTGGTTGGTCAAAATGAATGGGTGTGTGTGGCCTGTTCCGAATATTGAAACTATCACATAACCCCCCCCCCCCCGGCACGCCTTCCGTAGTCATGAGGTGGAAATCTATTAAGTCTGACTGAAGAGTAAAGGGACAGTGTGTTCTGTGTAAGCTATGGGCATCATCCGCAGTGCGTTCTTGCCACAGGGCCAGATGATCAATCAACAAGTTTACAGACAGATCCTGCAGCATATGCTTTGTTCGGTGTAAGAGAAGAGACGAGAATTGTGGCAGGATAAATCCTGGTTAATTCACCACAACAATGCTCCTGTTCAAAATTCCCTGAGCATCTAGGCTGGGAAGAACATTGCCATAGTGGAACAAGCTCCTTATTCACCCGATCTTTCTCCATGTGAATTTTTCCCCAATTTTAAGGGGACCCATTTTGAAGGTGTGGAGATCATCAAGAGGGCTGCAACAACTGAACTGAGGGGGCATCTAAGAAAAATCCTTAGAGCCGTGCATAGAAGTGTGGTAGAGAAGGACGAAAAAAGTGCAAGAGAGAGTTGATAACACCAGTCTACTTACGTTTCAGACTGACCTTGTATTTACACACTTGAGGTGTGTTCAAAAAGTATCAGACTTTATTTTTTCCTGCTGAAACTAATGCCACGTGGTCAAAATCCTTTGGGTGGGATGCAACACTAACATTCCTACACATGTGAGAATTTTTGCACTGGTATGCTGCGTCAATTCCTGGCTGTTGTGCCTAGAGTACAGATGTGTAGTTTGTGTTCATCAGATTTTTTTTTTTTTTCATTCAAGATGACTGAACACATTGAGCAGAGAGTTTTTTTAGAAAGTTTGGTGATATTCAAGCCCAAACAATTCAGAAGTTTCTGCAGGCTTTTGGTGATGGTGCTGTTGGCAAATCTTGGATCAAAGATGGGTTCAACCCTTTCAAACATGGCTGCACCTCAGTGGAGAGCAACTTGTGCTTTAGCAGTGCATCCACAAGTCAAAATGAGGAGCTGATAGAGAAGGTTTGGTGAATGGTCAGGGAAGATCATCCTGTAACATTCCAAGAAATTGCTCACAAAATGGGAATGACCCTGGGATCATTGCATTCCATTTTAACAGAGGATTTGTTCATGCGGGAGTGTGTCAGCAAAATCCACCACCAAGGTGCTTGGTGAAGCAGCAGAAGCAACTTTGCATAGAAATCAATTAGGATATGCTGGACTGTGCAAACTATGACCCAGACTTCATGAAGATCATCACTGGTGATGAGACATGGCTTAATGGTTATGACACTTCAAACTAAGTTCCAGTTCACTCAATGGAAGCATCCGTCATTGTCGAAGCCCAAAAAGTAATGTTGACTCCTATGATATTGTGCATCATGAATATACACCACAAGGAGAAACTATAAGGAATACCACTTGGAGGTTATACTTTGTTTTTGTGATGCTGTGCACTGAAACTGACATGTGGTAGGTAAAGAATTGGTAACTTCACCGCAACAATGCACCCACTCATTCCACCCACATAATCCAAGCTTTCCTGGTAAAAAACAACACACCCACTTGTTCGACAGCTTCTTTACTCTTCTGACTTGGCCCATGTGACTCCTAGCCCTTCCCCAATGTAAAAACCATGTTGAAAGGGCAGCGATTTTTGAATCTGGAGAAAAAATTGTGAGAAAGTAATAGCTGAGCTCCATAACGGTCCAGAGGTGTTACCAGTAGTGGCAAAATCACTGGGGAGAGGTGTGTGAATCGTCTAACAAAAATGGAATGCACATGGCTTGATTGTATTTGACTGTTGCTGCTGGGTTTTGACATCAATTTCCATTTTATATTTACATAAATATAGCATACCTTAGTTTTGACTCCTTCAACATAAATTTTGAAACTTTTGAAAAGCTGGTTAGCTATTGATAAAGTTGCATTATGGAAAAATAGTCAAGATTTTAACAATATAATCAGTCTCTGTCATTTGGCAAGGTTATTGGGTTAACTTAATTGTATGTTAGAAAGAAAAGTTATGGAATTCTGAGCAACAAACTTTGATATTATTGCTCACCTTATCCAATTTTTCTTCTTTCTTTAATATGAGGGTTAGATATTTAGGAAAACTTCTTTTTCAGGCTTATCTAGTGCAGGTATGTCAAACATGTAACCTTTATATGCACACCTGTGGCCCACTCTAAGATTACTAGTTTGGTCATTTAACAGCTAAAATTCCAGTTTTTTTTAATTTGGAAATTACAATATTTAAGAAAATAAATCACCCGCTTTTTTAAATTTTGATTTATTTTAATAAAATACAAGATAAGGATACTATTTACTGCATAAATTCATTTAAAATAGTTTTAATATTATTGACAAACTTTAAGTTAGAAAGCTATTATTTTAAAAATTGTAGCAAATATTCAATATTCTTGGTAGCTGAGAAAATGGTGCGGGAGCAAATTTTCTTTAGTAGGTATGCCACCAACCATCACACCACAAAAACAATATGGCAGGTCGTTAACAGTTGTAAACAAAACTTTCTTTCAAAATTTCAAAAGTTTTTTCTTTTGAAGGTGAAATGTTAGCCAAAAATGTTTTTGAGGCATTATCAAAATTGTTTTATCTCTTTTTATTGTAAGCTGTAGTTTAAATGTACCAGTAACTTTTCAGATTCAACATCATCAATTTTGAAAATTAGTTTTTCCTTTTATTTCGACCCTAAAAATGCTAGTGCCCTCCAGTTAAGAAGAAAAGAAAATTGAATGAAGAAGGGCGAATGTTTCAAGAAAAGTGGGAATTATGGTATTTTTACACAACGGTAAATGAAAAGATACATTGTTTAATTTGCAACAACTCCATCACCACGCCAAAAGAGTATGACGTGAAAATACATTATGAAACAAACCATTTATCTTAGGATAAATATGAAGGTCCAATGTGTGTTTCAAAACTGAAGGCTAACTTGGCACAGCAATGGACTTACAAAAATTCAGAAACAGAATGTCGCTTCCATTACTGCAGGCTATGAACTCAGCTGAATGATAGCCATGAGTGGGAAATCACAGTGAAGGAGATTTCGTAAAGCAATGCCTTGTAAAAACAGCTTAAATTGTAATGTTCTAAGAAAGTACGCTTATTCAAAGACATTTCATTAACCAGGAAAACTGTTGTTGAACAGATTGATGAAATGTCAGGTGATTTGAATCAATAGTTGAAGGCTGTATCATCAAGGTTTGGACATTGTTCTATTGTTATTGATGAGACCGTTGAATAGCACAGCTTTCAATCTTCATCAGGGTCTAAGACAGGGAATTTAATATTTATAATGAACTGATTGAACTGGTCCCCTTGTGTGACATTACAAAAAGCCAGAATGTCTTTTGAGAGAGTTGTGCAGGTTCTGCATGAATATAGTTTTGATTTGAGTAAACTTCCATGCTTATCTACTGATGGTGATGTGAATATGATTGGCAAACATAATGGTGTTGCTGCCAAGTTACAAAGAAAACTAGTGACTTCACATCCATATTCATCATTTGTACATTTTCACTGTATTATTCATCAGCCAAATTTGTGTTCAATGATTTTAAAATTGAATCATGTGGTCTAAATTGAAATAGCAAAAATATTCTGCAATAAATTTTATGAAATGACTCCAGTAGAAGGAATAAACAAGTTGAGATTTAGAGTTCTAGCTTATCTGCTTACTACCTACTTCAGCAAGACTGTCGATTCAAAGCCACATATTACTTCTTGATTGCATTATCTTCATTCAAGTCAATGAAGACAGAAAAGACAGTGAATATTTATGAAGAACAGATTGATTATGAAATCAAGAAAAACGTCTCCAAACAAGGCAGCATTTGTCATCTCTGATCAAAGTCGAAACTGCAGACACTTCAGCCAGTTTTGAACTGTTATTTATGTACAATGTATTTGTTGCTGTTGCAAACTGCAATTATATATTGTCTAAAAAATTTTTTTTTTTTTTTTTTTTATATATCAAATTACTTCATTACTTTGTATACATGAATCCTGCTAAAACATTTCTATGAACATTGTGTTTCTAAATTATTTGAGTAACAAAGATATTCTGCAATAAATTTTTTAAAATTACTTGTGCACAATTACTTGTGGCCCCCACGACAACACACATGTGGCCCTCGGGACCATCAGTTTGACATGCTTGATCTAGAGCCATGTTTTATTTCACTTCAGTTTGATGTGGTTGTTGACACGTCTCCAAGTTTTCTTCAGCTGTCCTTTGTCATGGCTTCCTTCTGTGAACTACCTCAACTAACAAATATGACAGGCATCAGAAAATGTGCCGGGGGGGGGGATTATAGCAGAAATATTGCGATTATAACAACTACGATACAACTACTTGTTTTGAATAGTGAATAATCATAATGTTGTCTGAAATAATACTGCTGATTGTGTGTAGAGGATATATGCAATTGTTGAGGATTTTTTCTGCTTTGATCCATTTTATTAGGTAGTTATTGTTGTCCACATGACAAAAAATAAAAACTGGAAAATAAGATTTTGCCATTTTTTCCAAAGTTGTAACTTTTATCTTTCAGGAGGTCCTTTTGAAGAATCAAAATGAGTCTGTTATTCAGAATACGGTAAGGAAATTGGATATTCAAGCAATTGTTCCTTTAATCAAAGAATTAACTCAGAGAATGAGTGGCCCAAGTTCTGTGTAAGTATACTGTTCTTTTTATCTTCTGCTATTTCTGTTTCCAGGCAGAAATGGCTATTTTAGACTCCTTCTGACCAATAAGGAATTATCCTTCCCAAAATTCTTGTTTGGTCAAATTTTTGGATGTGAGTTAAGAGAAAAATCTTTTCATGCCTTTCTGTCTGTCAATATGTGCAATTTTTTTAATGTGGCATATCCTATTACTGCAAATGTTATTTTTAGTGGCTACCTGTGTTTGAGTTATTTTTTTTTTTTTTCTTTTTGTTTTTTTTTCTTAATCACTGAAATTAATGCCCATCAGTCTAGATCAAGAAATCTTAGTAAAGAAGAAAAAAATGTGGATTGTGCATCAAATGTGTATTCACTAAAAATAACATTTATATTAATAAGAAATAATGTCTAATTAGAGTTATTGGCATTTTTGTATCTTTATGTATAGGTACCCTTACCCTACCTTGACCATCACTCTTTCCGAAAGGAACTAATAAAGTAAAGTTAGTGTGAGGTCATAAAAGGACATGAAATTGATGACAGAATAACAATAAGACATTTTGTCAAAATATAAATAAAAATGAAATTCTGGGAACTTACCTCAGCCTAAGAAGTCTTGTCTTGCAGGCTGCAAAATAGTGTGTATGTGTGTGTGTGTGTGTGTGTGAGAGAGAGAGTTGCATGGTATTAATCTTTTTTTTTTTTTCTTTATTTGTAGCCTTCATAAATATGCCCAGTGGATCAAAGTGATTCTTTCTATCCATACTTCTTACCTGATATCAGTAAGTATATATAGGTAAATGATTCCCATTTACAAGATCCAAAATCTTGACTTTTTGAAAACAAAACCTGACCAGATTGGTGCAATAAATCCAGATTGATTTAAGGAGTGTCAAAAATATAATTTAGACAATTAGAACTTAAAATTTGTTAGAATTTTTAAAAATGTTTTTTATATATATATATATATATATATATACACACACACACAGAGTGCGGCAGAAATACTCTACACATAATGTAACGCATCAGCTAAATGAAAACACCATTGGCAGTAATGTCTTACCATTATGTGGGAGGTATAAGATCTGTTTGCATTTCAAGTGCAATGAGTTTTATTAATTTGTTTTTCTTATTTAAATCTTAAATTGAAAAATTACAAACTTGTAAAGTTTGATTTTGCAGATAGAAATTGTAATATTGATGCTTTTAATAATTGTATATTTTTTTTATATGGAATGTTTATCTTTTTAGATGTTTCAGTGGATTATCCACATGAAAAGTGTATTTGCCGGTTTGTCGTTACAATCTTCTTTATCATTATTGTCAATGTTACAAGAGACAAATATTGGCAATGTTTAACCCTTGTGTCCAAAAAATGATGTCAAAAGGACAGTCCTTTGACACTGCTATTGCTGTATATTCTCTCGGTGATGATTAGGATGTTTCTAAAACCCACACATTAAAGTGTTTTGTTTATTCTTGCGAATTGACAATAAACATTAAACACTTTATTTATTAGATTGATTATTTGCAAGAATATAAAAATATGTGAACCAACCATAACAAAATAGTTATTATTTGCCATTTTCTAAAGAAATATGGGAGAGAAAAAAAACAAAAAAAAAACCTTTATTCATAAATTTATAAAAGTGTCTGAACAAGAAAATTTAAATAAACACATAATGCATAACTAATTATGAATTTTAAAAAATCCAGGCGTTTCTTTCATTTGCTCTTCCCACGTGTTTTTATTTGCTTGTAAATAAATTAATAAACAAAAGTAGTATTTAGTATTCAATATTTAGTTATTGCCAGTTCTCAAGAATAAAGAAAATGTATAATTCCATCTTGATATGTTTGGCTTTTTATTAAAATTTTAATCACTGCTTTTTAAAACAATATACATTGTCGGAGTCACAAGTGGATACAGTAAAAGTGGGGTTAAGAATGTTTTTTTTTTTTTTTTAAAACACAAAGATTAAACGTTGCCCAAAAATAATGAATTAATCTCATACTTTTCTGTTTGATGTGACTATTGCATTTCTATGTATTAATAAACTATGAAAATAAAAATGTTGTCATTAAAAATGAAGAGCAAAACATATTGTCAACATATCAAATACCTTTTGTAAATAATTATGAGCATCTACCTGCTTTGTGTTATGTATTCTGCTGAGTGCGTTTACAATTTTGTGCTTTAAAATCAGATTTTCTAAGCTAAGTAAAAACAATTTCAAAAGTTTGTACTTGTTTATATGTCCAGCTTTTTTTCTTTTTCTTTTTCTTTTTTTAAGTTTTGTTCAAAATTTCTTGCATATAATTCAAATTTTTAGATGTTACAAGAAATATAGAACTTAATTTAAAATAAAACTTAATTTAAAATAAAAATTCTAAACCAGTATCTATTTTTTTTTTTTTTTTTTAAGTATTAGTTGGGAAATGTTTTAACTGAATTGGCTCATAATATGAGAGGTCAAATTACTGCTTTTAAACTACAAGTTTCCCATGATTTCTCTCAAATGTTCATATCTGCTTGAAGCGTATCTTGACGTAAACAAAAGCAGTAATTCGACCTTGCTAACCAGTTGCTACCTTCATAGCTAAACTGGTATAGCACGTCAGGCTATATGATGGTCCTATGTAGGATACAGGTTCAGTTCCTGTTGGAGGACACATTTTCTATGAAATTTCTCGGGCATTCAAGCCAGTAATTGTTGTTAATACTGTTTATTATAAACAAAGCATTTACTTAAATATGTGTCGATATGAATAACGTATAACAATAAAATATATTAAAATTTTATATATATAAACACATTTGATCAAAACCAACATGATCTCTGTTTAAATTTTTTTTTTTTTTTTCAATTTTTCGAATAAAGTGTATTGTGCTGAAAATTGTTTGTTTACACATGTTGCCACTATAGACCATTTCCATCATTATAAACTTGCATCACTTTTGTAAATATGGCAGAATGAAATGCTTTTTCTTTTGTTTAATATTATCTTTAAATATATTTCAGTTTCCAGATTTAATGGATACTTTAAGTTCCCTTTATCAACTTCTTGATGCTCGGATGGCAATGTTTACAAAGTTGACTCGATTACAAGGGAAATTAAGCTTGTTATTGTCTCAGGTAAGTTTTGTTCTTTACAAGCATCCACCTTTTCAATATTGTCTGATTGGTCCTGTTTGCTGACTGAAAAGACATAATTTTAGTCAGATGTTGGGGGAACATGGATCTTTTTTTTTTTTTTTTTTTTTCTTACTATTAATAATACTTTAAACCTGCAGTGAATAGAATCTGATGGAGAAGCTGACCAGTCAGTGAAAAACTGGCCAAAGGCACATATTTACAACTTCGTTGATTAGGGAAACAAATCAAGTCAAGACTGACATACCCATTAGAGTTAAGACTTTTTGTAAAATAATTTGATATCCTGTATCATAATTAAATGAACTCTTGTTAAAAAAAATAATGAAGGGTTTAATTTAGTTTGTTTTTTAAAACCGCCCCCCCCCCACACACACACATGAAATTTCTGAAATCTTATACAAGTAGTTATGACTTTCTGAAACCTTTTCAAATTCATTTTTGTTCATTTGTAAGGTTTTATGTTATGCTATAGCTATAAACTGTTAAATACATTAAAAATACCTAAGTGCTCTCCAATTATATCGAATACATTAAAAATACCTAAGTGCTCTCCAATTATATCGAATACATTAAAAATACCTAAGTGCTCTCCAATTATATCGAATACATTAAAAATACCTAAGTGCTCTCCAATTATATCAAATACATTAAAAATACCTAAAGTGCTTTCCAATTGAATACATTAAAAATACCTAAGTGCTCTCAATTATATCGAGAATACATTAAAAATACCTAAATTACTCTCCAATTATATCGAATACATTAAAAAACCTTGCTTTCTCAATTATATGAATACATTAAAAATAATTCAATTATATCGAATACATTAAAAAATACCTAATTCCAATTATAGAATACATTACCTATCAAATACATTAAAAAAAAACTTTCCAATTATATCGAATACATTAAAAATACCTAATTGCTCTCCAATTATATCGAATACATTAAAATACCTAAGTGCTCTCAATTATATCGAATACATTAAAATACCTAAGTGCTCTCCAATTATATCGAATACATTAAAAATACCTAAAAAGTGCTCTCCAATTATATAGAATACATTAAAAATACCTAAGTGCTCTCAATTATATGAATACATTAAAAATACCTAAGTAACTTTCCAATTATATCGAATACATTAAAAATACCTAAATTATACTCCAATTATATCGAATACATTAAAAATACCTAAATTAACTCAATTATATGAATACGTTAAAAATACATGCTCTCAATTATATTAAAAATACCTAAGTGCTCTCAATTTATAGAATACATTAAAAATACATGCTCTCCAAAAATACATTAAAAATACCTAAGTGCTCTCCAATTATATGAATACATTAAAAATACCTCTCCAATTATATAGAATACATTAAAAAACCTAAATGCTTTCAATTATATCGAATACATTAAAAATACCTAATTCGAATACATTAAAAATACCTAAATTGTTCTCAATTATATTTAATACATTAAAATACCTAAATTGTTCTCCAATTATATGAATACATTAAAAATACCTAAGTGCTTTCAATTAATCGAATACATTAAAAATACCTAAGTGCTCTCAATTATATCGAATACATTAAAAATACCTAAGTTTTCCAATTATATCGAATACATTAAAAATACCTAAATGCTTTCCAATTATATCGAATACATTAAAAATACCTAAGTGCTCTCCAATTATATCGAATACATTAAAAATACCTAAGTGCTCTCCAATTACCTAAGTGCTTTCCAATTATATCGAATACATTAAAAAAAAATGCTCTCCAATTATAGAATACATTAAAAATACCTAAGTGCTCTCCAATTATATTTAGAATACATTAAAAATACCTAAAGTGCTCTCCAATTATATCGAATACATTAAAAAAAATACCATTAAAAAACCTAAGTGCTCTCCAATTATATTAAAAAAAATACATTAAAAATACCTAAGTTGCTCTCCAATTATATCGAATACATTAAAATACCTAAATGCTTTTCCAATTATATCGAATACATTAAAATACCTAAATTCTTTCAATTATATCGAATACATTAAAAATACCTAAGTGCTCTCAATTATATTTAATACATTAAAAATACCATTCAATTAAAATACATTAAAAATACCTAAGTGCTTTCCAATTATATCGAATACATTAAAATACCTAAATCAATTATATCGAATACATTAAAAATACCTAAGTGCTTTCCAATTATATCGAATACATTAAAAATACCTAAAATTTTCAATTATATCGAATACATTAAAAATACCTAAGTGCTTTCAATTATGTCGAATACAATTATATCCAATTATATCGAATACATTAAAAATACCTAAGTGCTTTCAATTATATGAATACATTAAAATACCTAAGTGCTCTTCAATTATATAGAATACATTAAAAATACCTAAAGTGCTCTCCAATTTATCGAATACATTAAAAAATACCTAAGTGCTCTCCAATTATATCGAATACATTAAAAATACCTAAGTGCTTTCCAATTATATCGAATACATTAAAAATACCTAAGTGCTCTCCAATTATATCGAATACATTAAAAATACCTACAATTATATCGAATACATTAAAAATACCTAAGTGCTCTCCAATTATCGAATACATTAAAAATACCTAAGTGCTTTCCAATTATATCGAATACATTAAAAATACCTAAATACCTCAATTATATGAATACATTAAAAATACCTAAGTGCTTTCAATTATATCGAATAATTAAAAATACCTAAGTGCTCTCAATTATATCGAATACATTAAAAATACCTAAGTGCTCTCCAATTATATCGAATACATTAAAAATACCTAAGTGCTCTCCAATTATATCGAATACATTAAAAATACCTAAATTGCTTCTCCAATTATATGAATACATTAAAAATACCTAAGTGCTCTCAATTAAAAATATAATCGAATACATTAAAAATACCTAATTATACTCCAATTATATGAATTAAAAATACAAAAAAAATACCTACATCTTTCCATTATTATTATTAAAAATACCTAAATACATTACATTAAAAATACCTAAGTGCTCTCCAATTATATCGAATACATTAAAATACCTAAGTGCTCTCAATTATAAATACATTAAAATACCTCCAATTAGTCGAATACTTAAAATCCAATTATATGAATACATTAAAAATACCTAAGTGCTCCAATTATATGAATATAAAAATACCTAAAGTGCTCTCCAATTATATCGAATACATTAAAAATACCTAAGTGCTCTCCAATTATATCGAATACATTAAAATACCTAAGTGCTCTCCAATTATATAGAATACATTAAAAATACCTAAACATTAAAAATACATTAAAAATACCTAAGTGCTCTCCAATTATATCGAATACATTAAAAATACCTAAGTGCTCTCCAATTATATCAAATACATTAAAATACCTAAGTGCTTTTCCAATTATATCGAATACATTAAAAAATACCTTTCTCCAATTATATCGAATACATTAAAATACCTAAGTGCTCTCAATTATGGAACTCCAATTATATCGAATACATTAAAAAAATGCCTAAATTAACTCCAATTATATCGAATACATTAAAATACCTAAGTGCTCTCAATTATATCGAATACATTAAAAATACCTAAGTGCTCTCAATTATATCGAATACATTAAAATACTAAAATTCTCAATTATATCGAATACATTAAAAATACCTTGTGCTCTCCAATTATATCAAATACATTAAAAAATACCATTCAAAAAATACCTAAGTGCTCTCCAATTATATGAATACATTAAAAATACCTAAGTGCTTCAATTATATCGAATACATTAAAAATATAGTGCTCTCAATTATAAATACATTAAAAATACCTAAGTGCTCTCCAATTATATCGAATACATTAAAAATACCTAAGTGCTTTCCAATTATATCGAATACATTAAAAATACCTAAGTGCTCTCCAATTATAAATACATTAAAAATACCTAAGTGCTCTCCAATTATATCGAATACATTAAAAATACCTAAGTGCTCTCCAATTATATCGAATACATTAAAAATACCTAAGTGCTCTCCAATTATATCGAATACATTAAAAATACCTAAGTGCTCTCCAATTATATCGAATACATTAAAAATACCTAAGTGCTTTCCAATTATATCGAATACATTAAAAATACCTTCAATTATATCGAATACATTAAAATACCTAAGTGCTCTCAATTATATCGAATACATTAAAAATACCTAAGTGCTCTCAAATTATAGAATACCAATTATATCGAATACATTAAAAAACCTAAATTGCTCTCCAATTATATCGAATACATTAAAATACCTAATTGCTCTCAATTATAGAATACATTAAAAATACCTTGAATACATTAAAAATACCTAAGTGCTTTCAATTATATGAATACATTAAAAATACCTAAGTGCTCTAAATTATGAAGAATACATTAAAAAATACCTAATTGAACTTTCCAATTATATGAATACATTAAAAATACCTAAAATACATTAAAAATACCTAAGTGCTCTCAATTATATCAAATACATTATTTGGGCGTTGGTCACATTCTGTCTGGTGCTTCCTCTTCGACTTCACTACCATGAGTGACCCTACAGGAGTTGGAACACCAAACGGCTTCACTCTTGAGAACATTGTTACAAATAACCATGATAAGGAACGTCCTTGTACATATTTTACTCTGTGTGTCAGAGTGAATAGTTTTCAAATGTACCACTTTGACTTATTATTACTTAAAAGACTGTAATCTACTATCAATAGAAATAAATATCAGATATCTTATCAATAAATAAAAGAATAAAAATATAAAATTATCATTAAATATGAGAACATTTTTTTAATTATTGTTATTGCTAAATATAAATATTTGAGAGATAAATAATAGAAGAGAAAATTCACTATTGAACCAAAAAGTTAACAGTATACAACAAAGAACAAGATGCTAAGGGATTTCCAATAACTTGGACTGATTTTTAAATATCAATTAAGTTTAAGCGTCTAATGAATTTTTTCTTTCAGATTTAACAACTTAAGTTTTTGGCAATTTCAACTATGGAAAGATTAAGAATTGAACAATGTGTTAAAGTTAGCGAAGCCTATTATGAAAATGGACATTCAAACAGAAATGCATTTTGTGCATTTTTTGGCCAACATAATCAACCAACTGAGAGTGCAATTGGAAACTATGTAATGTTGTGGAGAGGTCCAATTCCTATGCACGATGACAAATAGAGGTGTCTGGATTTTCAACCACATTCACATGCACTGCAGCAATGTTTTCAGCTGAATGGTATAAACGAGCACGCAATGGTGTTTTCACATCTACCTCTGACCCAGTTTGTTTGAATTTATGAACAATTTTTCCAATTGCACTCTTGAAACTTAACATGTTTTTTTGATTGTTAAATCTGAAAGAAAAAGAAAAAAAATCATTAGACTCTTAAACTTAATTCAAACTTAAAATTAGTCAAAGTTATTGGAACACTCTTTATTCAATAAAAAGAAATCAGCAAATTTTTAGATTACATATGAAAGCATTTAACTCATATCACTTTCACAATATATTGAACAACAGTAATTGTTAAAATTTGTTGAGATTTGAAAAATGTTTTTTATCTTCTATAATTTCAGTTATTGCATTGTTTTTTTGTTTTTTTTTCCTCCTAATGTCATGTCAGTGTGCCATGTGATGTACATAATTTCTCTTTCAATTTCAGGTTAAATCTCGTGACCAAGAGGAAGCGGGAGTCCAATACCATGACCAACCTGCTTTGCTCACGTATCAAGATGGTAAATATTACACTCTCAAATTAGATGTGCCATGTCCCTTCAGGACATTGGTGATCATGGCTCTCCACAATCTGCAATCCCTTCTTGTAGCTCTTGAAACATTTGCCATCCCGCCCCATTCACACAGGCTTATTGAGTAGGTAGCCTGTGGCCTTCCATTGTTCCTGATTCTCCAAAACCTCCCCCTCCTCAATGCTCCCTCATTCTCCAAGCCCCCTCTTCCACTGTTACTAATTCTCCTTTTTGTTTCTAGTTTCTTTAAAACTTCCTCATTACTCATATGTTCAGTACATTGTATTCTCAACATCCTCCTGTAGAACAAATCCTGTATAGACCAAACAGAATTATAATACACGAACACACGTGAATATGCACAAATATTGCTTGACAGGTCAATTACACATGAAGTCTGCTTAATCAATGCAACACAAAAATAAGTGCCAGAATTTTCTTTTCTCTCCTGTTTAATTCATTTTCTGATGAAACTTAAATAAAAGTGGAACCTGTTAAATTTATAAACATTTCAGTTTTTTTTTCTTCATCATATTTACATGCACTGAAAGACACACACACTTATATATATATATATATATATATATATATATATATATATTAGTGTAAATAAGTTTTTTATGGTACAAAATTTAACGATAGCTAGCTAGGAATAGGCAGTATTTATATGGCATTTTAAAAAAGCTAATAATGAACAACCAGTTTTGTCCCGGCCTTATCAAGTTTATTTCTGTGATATAAAAAAATAAGTGTGTAAATTTTTAATTAATGATAACGAACACAGGGGAAACTGGTTGTTCATTTTAGCTTTTTTTAAAATGCCATATAAATTTTCCTTGTTCCTAGCTAATATATATATATATATATATATATATATATATATATATATATATATATATATATATAGTGTGTTTGTGGACATTGAAGTCAACACCTATCAGTGACAGACTGTTTTATGCTTGCATATGCTCTCTCTGATATTGAGCACTTTAACCCATGAATATAGCAGACCTTAAAACTATATTTCTTCATGTATATCACCTTAAGGACACATTCAGAATAGAGCCTTATAAAAAAATTGTGGAATCAAAGAATATCACACCCCTTTGAGTAAGGCATCAGTCCTTTTTAAAGATCAAGATTTGTCTAGTTAATAGGAGGGAGTGATTTTTATTGCTTTTCGTTATGGTACACTGTTAATGTAGCAGAATTGTATTACTGGAATTTTTGCTTTCATGCCTTTTTTATTGAAAACCTGTACTAGTGATGAAAATGGGGTTCATTTGAATTTTGATATATAGAGGTGATGTTGCTGCAAATGAACTTTATTAAATAAAATTGTTCTTTCAATTTTTCAGAATCTTCAGATGAAGATTTTTATTTGAAGAAAAATTTGGATGATATGGTGGCTTCAGAATCGGAAGTGAGTTGTTTTTTTTTTTTATATCTTTCTTACTTATAAAACCCAGGTTGTGTGTGTGTCTGTTTGTTTATATATGTGATCGGATTTCCTACATTTTTCAACCGATTTCAACAAAACTTCACAGGACTATGTAAAATTACCCCGCGGTGGTTCTGACAGTGCCAAAAATTGGAAAAACACAATTGTTTTTGCATGAAATCAATTTGAAAGCACAGGTAAGGGCTATTTATGCAGATTTTTTTGCAGTCTTTAGACGACGTTTTGTTACCGAGCCACCAAAACAAAGCAAATGGTCCAGTTTCTGATAGCACTAACGCTTGGCTATCTAACAAGTACCAAAATGTTTGCAAGACTGTCAAAGCCGCTTGACCAGGGAACCATAAATGGGGGTACCATGGGACAGGATTTAGCCTTCTGAACACACATTCACTGGCACAGTATGTACAGTTTTGGTTTGATTCAAATGAAATTTACGACACTTGCAGCTTACTATTGCCTTTATATGTGTCAAATTTCAGAATTTTTCGGCAAAAATAATTGTAGCTGCATGCGGATCAATCTTTTTTGTAACTTCCTTACACACACACACAGCTGTGTGCAACTGAGTCAGCGTGTCGATACTGAGACTGCTGCAAGCCCATTGGTCATTTCACAGAGCTTGACCTTGGGGCCTGTCCAATCATCGCGCAGGATTTCTCACACGTTATAGCGCCCGCAGGATCACGCGTCAGCTTATGTGTAAGTGCGCTCAAGGTCAACCACCTATTGCATGACTCGAGTGTGCTTTCACAATTTTGCGTTTATTGTTGCCCGTGTGTATGCACTTGGCTTACTTTATTCGCCTACTTCAGACACCGCAAGTTGTTGATTCCGTGTTCTAGCTGCTTTTTTGTTTTATAGTTCCAACCCAACCCCACACATGTTAGCCAATTGTACTAAAAACCCATTTCCTTTTGGATTTACCATTTGTTTACCTTTTTAAATTTCCACTTTTTAGTTTTGAGTTTCCCTTTAGTAACATCTGAACTCATTTTACTGGGTGTTCCCCTTTTTGTGTCTACGTTAGCAGTGCACGTTTTTTTCGTTTTGGATTTGTCGAAATCTCTTTTTAAGCTTTATCCTCTTTGACGTTTTTACTGTTTGGATGGCACCTAAAAGAAAAACTTTTGGGGCGTCATCGACGGCAGCTGCCTCCGCTGCTAGAGCAGCGGTAGTGAAACCCTGAACAGACTTCTTTGCATCTTTCATGGATGGCCTCGAGCTCAGCTGCTCGCTTATCTACAGAAAGCGCCTTCGCGCTGGACTAAAAGATTGGCTTCAGTGGCTTCAACCATGTTCGCATGCCATGCCAGGCTTTCAGTTGAAGAACGTTCGCTTCAGAATTCACAGAACGCAGTCCGCGTGGCTAGGTTGAGGGCTTCACAGTCCCCAGCACTGAAAACCTTTAGGCCGATTTTTTTGGGATGTCACTGCCAAAGCTTGCTCCAGGGGTTTAGAAAGCCCTGAACAAACAACTTCACGTTGTCTTAGGAATACTAGGGCTACAGCCGCCTCTAGAGCTTCGGAACAACCCCGAGAAATTGCTCATCGTAGAAATGCCCTATCCACGACGTCTGCCAGAGCCTTAGAAAGCCCTGCACAGACTACTGTTCGTCGCATTAGAAATGCCCTCTCCGCTGCATCTGCTAGAGCCCTAGAAAGCCCTGCACAGACTACTGTTCGTCGCATTAGAAATGCCCGCTCCACTGCATCTGCTAGAGCCCTAGAAAGCCCTGTATAGACCACTGTTTGTCGTGTTAGAAATGTCTGCCCTACTGTGTCTGCCAGGGCTGCAGAAAACTCTGAAGTACGCTGTCAACGGCTCAAAAATATTAGCCAACTTCGAGCTTTTTGAATGGCGTAACTTCACCGTCTGCATCATTTTGGTCAAATGCGCATACCCTGCACTGTCAACTATTCCGCTAGGAGAGACGTACAAATAGGGGCCATGGATAAATTTTGCACTTTTTGCAACACAAAAAAAATGGGTCGGTGAGCAACCTGAGCTTTGTTGCTCTGGGGGCAAAATCAAACTCCCTTCTTTAGACGAACCTCCCCAGCCGCTTAGGGACCTCCTGGGTACAACTTCGAAGTCAACACATTTTCTTGAAGCAATACGGAAATACAACTGTTGCTTCCAGATGACATCTTTTGGTGCGAAGGCTATTAGTGAGGGGAGATGGATGCCTACTTTAAAAGTGCATGGCCAGGTCTATCACTTAATGGGATCACTTTTGGCTGATCAGGGAGAGCCACCTCAGTTCCTACAAATTGACTTTCTCGCTGACTACAACAAGCAGGTTGATGCACGTCTCGGCATTCTGCCTAGCAATATTTCTATCGGTCCCTATAGAGACATTCTGTTCCGTCTACAAGACATGCTTCACGAAACTAACAGTTACATCTGTAGCTTAAAGTTTGTGTTGCAAAACAACTCTTCGCTCTCTTTCAGCGTTGTCATCGATGCAGAGAGACGGCCTCACGGTGAGCATGAGCATCGCTTCAATGCTCCTGCATGTAATGAAGTCGCTGCAGTCATCCACAGTGAGGAGCATAACAGCCGTGACATTGTCATAAGGTACCGGTGCAGTGGTCTCCGCCACATCAGTGAAACCCACCGTTCATACGACTGTCTCCAGTACCCCCTTCTTTTTCCATACGGAAGCGATGGGTAACACTTCAAAATCCCAATATACCAGGCAAGCGGCGATTCCATGTCGACCTCAAAGACGGTCTCCTGTAGGGCTTACTACGCCTACGTGTTTATGGTTAGGGACGGTGAATTTAACCACTTGCACAGGTGCTGTCAACTATTGCTTCAATTCGCTGTTGACATGGCTGCAAAAATGGAGTCGGAGAGGTTCGGATTCATCAAGTTAAACCAATACAAACTTAGAACCGACTCCTACATTCACCTCCATGATTGTCTGCATTCTTATGGTGACCCACGCAATCTCGGCAAACCATGCATTTTACACTGGTGGCCCTCACAAGACACAATGACCTATGTCCGTCATTACGGGAGGCCTGATTTGTTCGTCACGTTCACGTGCAATCCGAAATGGGTTGAAATCACACGCAAAGCTTTTTCCAGGTCAGCCCTGACCTAATAGCCCGCGTTTTCCGGTTACAGCTGTGTAAGCTTATGGATTTAATCCTTAAAGGGCAAGTCTTCGGACACGTTAAGTGTCATATGTATACAGTGGAATGGCAGAAATGCGGTTTGCCTCATGTCCACATTCTGCTGTGGCTCAACGATAAGGTTGACGCAAACAAAATAGATGATTTTATTTCTGCTGAAATTCCAGATCCTTTGCTCCACGAAATCATTAAAAACAATATGATAACACAGCCCCTGTGGCGGGAATTACAAAAAAAGCTCATGCTGGTCAAGCGGCCCCACTTGCGCAAAGGGTTATCCCCGTAAGTTTATCTCAGAAACGCAGACTGTGATGGATGGTTATCCACTGTACAGACGTAGAAGCCCCGCTGAGGGCGGCAGAACTGTTACAGTTAAGGGGCACACTCTGGACAATCGTTGGGTGGTGCCTTATTGCCTGCTGCTGTCCAAGACTTTTGGAGCCCACGTAAACGCTGAATACTGCCACTCGGTTAAGTCAATAAAGTACATCTGCAAGTACGTTAATAAAAGCAGCGATGCTGTCATTTTCGGTGTCCAGCGTGACAATTGCATTGATGAGGTGGCTGATTATGTGGCTGGACGCTACCTCAGCAGTAGCGAGGCCTTTTGGCAAATTTTTGGATTCCCTATACACCAAAGGGCTCCAGCCATTGTGCAGCTTGCTGTTCACTTAGAAAATGGACAGAGGATGTACTTCACTGAACAAAATTCCCAGCAGGTTGCAGAAAATGACACAACCCTAACGACTTTCTTTAAATTATGCTCAACAGATGCTTTTGCCAAAACATTGATATACCCCCCAAGTCCCGTCCTACTACGTGTGGTCAAACAACCGGTGGGTTCGGCGAAAGGCTGGCGACCCTGTCGAGGGTTATCCCAATGTAAGGTCTAACTCTTGCCTTGGGCGTGTTTATACTGGTCCCCCCCCTCCCTCCCTCCCTCCCAGCCAGCAGGAGTGCTTTTACCTCCACCTTCTACTTCGTGAAATTGCTGGGCCAACGAGTTTCACAAATATTTGCACCCTCACCGGCATAGATTGCCAGTCTTATAGAGAGGCATGCTTCTGTTTGGGATTGCTTGAAGACAACTCCCAATGGGATCCAGCCATGGTGGAGGGTGAACTTTTCAGAATGTCATCACGCCTTCGAACGCTGTTTGCCATTTTGCTTTTGCGATGTGAACTAAGTGATCCTCTGTCACTCTGGCTAAAGTACAGAGAATCCATGTCAGAGGATGTGCTGTTCAGGGTAACAGCCCAGAAGTTGAATGCGGATTCACTGACTTCATATTCAACAGAGCGCTGGTGGCCCTAGAAGATGTTGTTTTCGAACTGGAAGGTGCCTCTTTACCAACTTACGGTTTACCACCACCGCTCAGAGATGGTTTTGACACTATACCAACTGAGTTATTGCGGGAAACATCCTACTCCATTGAGGTGCTGAACGCATACATTAATGAAAATGAGCCCAAACTTCTACCTGATCAGAGGATTGCTTTCACTACCATAACAGACAGGGCAAACGGCTCCAGTGGAGGTATATACTTTTTAGATGTGCCCGGAGGAACTGGCAAAACATTTGTTACTAAATTAGTCCTGGCAGAAGTACGGTGTCGTTGAGAGATCACTATTGTGGTTACATCTTCCGGAATTGCTGCAACGTTGCTACCGGGAGGTAGAACTGTTCTTTCGGCTTTTAGGTTGCCGCTTGATCTATGCCGGTCACAAACTCCTCTCTGCAATATAACAAAGAATTCGCCACAGGCTGAATTGTAGAATCGAATAAAACCATTCCCGGTGGTCTAGCGGCAAGAGAAATGCCTTAAATCAACATTTGAAGGTTCAACTTTGTGTTTCCGGTTAGCGTTAAGAGGGTATGGAAAAAAAAAGGCGATGTCATGTTTATAAGTCCATCGATAGAACTTCCGATCCATCTGAATTAGCTGAGTATCCCATAGAAGTTTTGAACTCCCTTCAGCCGTCCGGACTCCTACCTCATATTCTTCGGCTCAAAGTTGGTGCTCCGATTATGCTATCCAGGAATTTGCTCCCACCTAAACAGTGCAACGGGACTCGCCTCATTATTAAATCCCTTTCTCCAAACCTGATTGAGGCGAACATTGCAACTGGCTGCAGCAAGGGGGAAGTCGTCCTGATTTCCAGGATGCATCTTCTGCCGTCAGACGCAAGCATACCAATCAACTTTCGTTGCTCACAATTTCCCGTGAAGCTTTGCTTTGCTATGTTCATTAACAAATCACAAGGACAGACGCTTAGCCTCGCAGGTCCGCATGTACGTAAGCAGTGCTTCTCTCACTGCCAACTTTACGTTGGGTGCTCACGAGTTGGGTCTAAGGACAGGGTTTTCATTTACTCTCCCAACAACTGTGCTAGAAACATAACCTACACGGAGGTCCTGTAGACAACTCTCTCAGTAGCATTTAAGCACCATGCACACATATGCAGTCCAATTGCATGGCAATTTTTTTGTTTGTCATATTGGTTTTAATGTTAGGTCGTAGTCTCCACTTGCCATTACTAAGACATCTTTGTAAAGGTTATCCAGCTCTTTTGCTGGCTTTCATACTTTCACCCGCCATCATTGCGTTTTTTTTGTATGCTATGATAACCTCACCGTATTCAGTTGCAACACAAGCTGCTAGACACATGAACACCGTCATTAGACATGATTGCTCCACTAAAGTTCCGGTTTCATTACCAGTTAATCAGAGCACCTGCAGTTCGTATCAGTGCATACAAGCACATTCACACTTGAGAAGCTTCGGAGTTCATTTAATTGTCAAAAAAGTTGAGTGTGTCTACGAAATTCAGGCTTCTGCTTTCATATACACTTTATGGCTGCCATGGGTGAAACATGTCAGCCATACGGCTCTATTGTTTTGTTTGTAGTTGTGTAAAAAAACCTAAACACACGCCAAGTATGGCGATCCCAGTCAGTTTTCATGAGTTCTCAGCCGTGATGTTGACTGCGACTGAAGAGAAGGCACTTTTTCATTGCAACTGAGGCGCTCAGCCGTATGGCGACCCTGGTCCGGTTCCATGAGCTCTCAGCATGATGTTGACTGCGACTGAAGAGATGGCACTTCTCCATTGCAATTACGATGCTTAGCCTTATCCTCGTTGCGATTTTAAGGGCTCTCAGCCGCGATGTAGATACTGACAGATCAGAATAAAGGAAGTTATATCACAGAAATTTTCTTACCATGACACCCCGTCACTGTTCGCTCTTCTCTTGGTTTTACGGTTCTGCTTTGTGGTCATGGCAGCGCCGACTTTTGGGCATAAGACGCCTCTTTTAGTTAGACAAGCGGTTTGATTGTCATTGCGTACAGCACATACTTTATGTCTATGACTTCCTCATGGCACGTTTTCCCTTCAATCCCTATGTATGTTGCAACTGAATCGTGGTTTCTTGACTACTTACCACAAGTGCTTCCAGTAATGCTTAATGGTCCAATTGGTTAAAGCAGTAACTGCTGCCAGCTTTTACTCACAGATGTCTTAGTAATGGCAAATGACTGATGCTACAACGGCTTTCTGTTACTTCCTTCGATACCTTCCAATACATGGGTCTGCATGATGTCTGCTTAAACTTTGTGTGCCTTACGTTTCAACGTTTTGTAGAAACTTAGTTCCTGTCGACTTACAAAGCACATCTTTCAAAGCAACGGCCGTCCCCAACTCTTACTGTTACATCCCCAGGCAACGCCAGGCTCTACTGCTAGTATATACTTAAATGCCACCCCACTCCAAGCACAATGAAAATCCGCTTGACAACAGGTGTGAAAAGAGTTCATAGCCAATCTGGAAAACGGGGAATTAAAACAAAAAAAAAAAAAAAAAATCACTTTTTACATGCATTTAATGGCTTGTTTATTATACATGTTCTTAGATTGAAAAGTGTGTATGTCTGTGTATATACTTTATAAATTCAATTTATGGCAAAAGTATGGAAACTGGTCTACCACAAAAAGAAATGGCAACCTACTGCAGGGAAAAAAATCTGCCTCGTCAGTCATGTATTGAAAGATATTAGATCGCCTAAGCATGTATCACTCATGGCTGTATCATGTTTAACATTCTACTCCTTATTTTTATTATTGATTACATTATTTATTTATTATTATATGTGTGCATTCATTATTTAATTTATTATTTACATAGTTTAAATTATCTATTTTATTTTACTTTTTTATTTATTTTCCTGGGTTTGGTTATTTTATTAGTTTAAAGTATTAACTTTGACTAAAGTATTTTGTATTTGCATTGTGTATCGTTCATATATTTGCATTTCTTACGGTTGGACTTTAAAAGGTATTCATTTTTAGTTTTTGATTTTTAAATAACATAGTAAAAACTTGTTTAACTTAGCCATTTAGAAAAAGATATTTACCTCCATTCATCAATGTTTTTTTTTTTTTTTTTTTTCTTTAATAGTACGATTGGAACAGCGATGATGATGCTAAAGAAGATAGTGAGAATACAAAATCAAATAACACAGATGAAAAAGACGAAAGTGATGACTAATTCCAACCCAGGATATCAAATACACTCGTGTACTCTTTCAAGGGAGAAGAAAGATTTTTCTATATTTTTGATATATCAGCCAAGGAGGGGGAGGAGGAAAAAAAATCACTTTAAATAAGACTGGTTGGGTGTCTTAACAAGAAGTGGAATTGTGGGGGTGAATATTCAGAAAAGAAAAGAGGAGAGAGAGAGAGAAAAGAAAGAAAAAAAAATTTACATGTCCTTCCCTCCCCCTTCCAACTCAAAATTCATAAACTTTTTTAGTTCATCCCCCCCTCCATTGTCGCCCCCACCCCACACCGTCCTGCTTCTCCCTCTCTCTCTCTCTCTCTATTTTATTCTGTTGTTTTTGTTATGCAAAAACCAAATTGACATTTCTCGTTTTCACTTTCTCATTTGTGCGTAGTTGTGTTGGGGGAGGGGAACTCAACGCCTGGTTTTGCTCTCCACTCAAGGATCAAAAATAAATGTAAAATAAATCTTTACTAAATATACTTACTTTCTTTTTTTTTTTCTTTTTTTTTTCTAGAAATTCTGGACATTTGATTACATTGGCCTGATTACAAATATGGCCTTAATTGTGTTTTTTTTTTTTTTTTTTAACACTTGTGATTCGGTGATATTTTTCTTTTCTTTCTTCTCTTCTCTTTCTTCTCTTCTCTTTTTTTCTCTTTCTTCTCTTCTCTTTTTTTCTCTTCTCTTCTCTTCTCTTTTTTTCTCTTCTCTTTTTTCTCTTCTCTTTTTTTCTCTTCTCTTTTTTTCTCTTCTCTTTCTCTTCTCTTTTTTTCTCTTCTCTTTTTTTCTCTTCTCTTTTTTTCTCTTCTCTTTTTTTCTCTTCTCTTTTTTTCTCTTCTCTTTTTTTCTCTTCTCTTTTTTTCTCTTCTCTTTTTTTCTCTTCTCTTTTTTTCTTTTCTCTTTTTTTTTTTTTCTTCTTTTTTTCTCTTCTCTTTTCTTTCTCTTTTTTTTTTTTTTTTTTCTCTTCTCTTTTTTTTTCTCTTCTCTTTTTTTTTCTCTTCTCTTTTTTTTTTTTTCTCTTTTTTTTTCTCTTCTCTTTTTTTTTTCTCTTCTCTTTTTTTTTTTTTTCTCTTTTTTTTTTTTTCTTCTTTTTTTTTTTTTCTCTTCTCTTTTTTTTTTTCTCTTCTCTTTTTTTTTTTTTTTCTCTTTTTTTTTTTTTTTCTTTTTTTTTTTTTTTTCTCTCTTTTTTTTTTTCTCTTCTCTTTTTTTCTCTTTTTTCTTTTTTTTTTTTTTTTTTTTTTTTTTATAGGATAACATTTTTATTCACACCTGGGGATAATAGAATGTGTGGAAATATAAATAACTGAAAATATGTATTTTTGCTATGAACACTGATAATTATTATTAAACAACAGAAAGGGGGAATTATGATTTCTGGTAAAAATATATATTGAATCAGAAACCTATATTATTTACAGGTGTCACTGAATCCTTTATTCAATCTATTCCCTGTGAGTGAATAAAGACTTTGGTTTAAATATACATTAGTTACTGGATTTGACAAACAGAACCCAAGAAGGCTGGAAGACATCAGCCGAAGTGTGTATATAACAATCAATCATCACAGAAATATAGACAAATAAGACAAAATCATTCTAGGAAAGTTTCAAAAATTTAGAGCTGGTTCTTTTTCTGATCTAGGTGTGCCATGTTTGCCAAAATTTTTCAAAACTATATTTGCAAAAATAGAAGCATGCTTTTTCTCCATGTTGAAAAAATGAAACTCGGAAATAAGCATAAAAATGTTACTTAATGATTTATAGCAAACCTTTTCCTTTATTGTATGGAAAAGGATGAAACAAAAAATAACCATTGACAAGTGTGGTCAGAAGGAACTTTTAGTTTTCCACGGTCAATTAAATTGGTATATTTTCCATACTTTTCATAATAAAAATGGGTTTAACATTCACTGGGTTGATTATCATTTCTTGTAATATATCCATCTATGTACACAAGAGCCATTTTTATTTCATTGGAAAGAGATGGTTCTAAATTTTCCAGATTGTCAAATATTTCTGAACCTTCCTTACAAAGTTTATAATCACAAGATGTACATTGGTGACCTGGATTAACATCAAATTCATCAATATTTACATTTTGATTTAAAAGTAAAGATGTCTGCTTAATATGCAACTTTTCGATACATTGTTGAACATTTATAAAATAGGTTCCACCTGATCCTTGGCAAAGTTTACCAAATTCTTTTTCTAATGGATCAGTTGAAAATTGCCCAAGTAGTACATATTTATGACTTGTAGCTAAAAGGCGTCGACATAGACTAACAATTCCATTGCAAATATGATGTATGGCAGTAGCAATGTTTTGGGATAATTGTTTTTTACGATTACTTTGACTGCCAGCCATATTAAGAGCCATTTTACCAAATTCAATGATGAAATCAAGTCGTGTCATTTGGAGATTTGATTTCAGCTTGTAGAGGATCATTATGTAATTTATCAATTTGAAGGCATTTAACATTTAAATTTTTCCACCATGTCAAAACCTTGTTTATGAAGAGGGCAGTATCATTCTTACCTGCACTTATTTCAGACTGAGTGAGAAGTGCATTATATGTTTTTTCAGAAAACACTCTGAGGCAAGTAGAAACCCGTTGTCTTTCTATTGGCTTTGGAGCAATGGAAATTTCATTTAAATCTGAAAGTTTGACTAGTCTTTCAGATTTAAAATGATATAACTGTTTAAGATGTGTCCATTTTGCAACTCGACTTACTCTATCATCATCAAAGATTAGTTCTCCTGTTTTTTCTGTCAGCCACAAATTGCGAATATTTTTCAACAGATGAACATGATCAAAAAGCAAATGTTTATTATCTTCAGTTAACCAAGGTTTTCAGGAAGTGTAGGATATAATTTAAAAAAGCTTGATTGATGTGGTTGCCATCACATATAATAGCCTTTTACATCAGCTGGTACAGATGTGATGGCTTGGACTGTTAACTCAATTTGTTCAAATAAAAGGCGGATGTTGATTTTGAAATTGGAATCAATTTTGTAAGAAAATTTGGACCCCATTGAGACATATCAACATTATACCAAGTACTGTTTGAGCAAGTACAGATGGATTGTCAACTGATTTACCAAATAGTTGTTTGCCATGATATAGCAACATCTTTTTTGATATATACTTCATCATGGAGAATTATGCACCCTTTTGACTGGTATTAAGAGTATTAAATATAGATAACAAAAAGATTTTTCATTAAGTTTTGAAACTTTTGACGTCATCCTTCATAATGTTGCTAATGAGGGTAATTGAAAATCATATCTTAATTCATTATACAATGTCCGTGATCTTGCATAGTACCCGAAAGCATGCACAGCTATATCTGAGCTGTATTTTATTCCAACCATTTTGGGAGCCATTGCTAAAAATTTTTGACTCAGGATATTTTTCTTGTGATCAAAAGCCATAGAATTTAAATATCAGATGATTTCTTCCAGTTTTGACCAAGTATCAACTGTATTTATATGATTTTTGGACAGGCTGCTAGTATAACACTTAACTCCATAATGAAATGTTTCAAAGCGCAAATTGTTATAAATTTTCAACATAAAGAGAGGAATACCATCAATAGATTTTGATAATTGAACAGTTAAAATATTTTCATCCAAAAATGATACAAATGGACATATAAAGTCTTTTGTTGTTAAGCAGACTTTCTTTCAAATTTCTATAATTTTATCTAATTCTAAAAAAGCATTAAGTTCATCAGCAATTTGATTTCTAACAGTACTGGAGTTTTTTTTTATATTCCTTTGAACAGCTGAGGGTGTTGGTATTTGACTACTTAGCACACCTGGCCATACAGATGGTGGATTTTTGGACGTATTTTTCCATTAACTTTTATGGTATCAAAATTTGGAGGCCAATGTTGTTTACTTTAAAACTTTATATTAAATTTAAAAACATTCATAAGTAGCCTTTCCTTTAGTTTGGTTATTTTAATACGCTTTAAACTATATAAATAGGAATATATCTAACTTTTTTTTTTTTTTTTTTTTTTTACCTTAAAGCAAAACGATTAAAAGTAAAGTAAAAATAATGCATTTTGTCCTTTAACAACAATATCAGAAAAATATTAAAATAAATATGATAAATAAAATGGTACTTGTAAAATAAATTTTGTAGTCAAAAGGCGTTAAAAAGGAGACATTTCTAAAAAAAAAAATTAACTGCATGTAATAAATTTGTTATTTTTTTCTTTAATTCTAATAACTAAAAGAATACTTACAGTTCACCAATTGGTAACTAATGTAGTAAAAATAATCATTTATTTAACTTCGGAAACAAAAGGACGAAGAAATTCGTTTGTTTTGTTTCTTTTTTACTTTTAATGGAAATGTTGGATAAAGTTTTAATAGAGAAATGTTAATGAACCTTTCTCTATTAAAATTTTATTCAAATTTATTATTCAAACTTAAACTTTTAAGAAAAATGTTGACTTATGCTAATTTTTTATCATGGTTAAAAACTTGAGAAAATTAAACTTTAATTTCGTTGACGTTATGTTTTCACTCATACTAACGTTTTTTTTTTTTTTTTTTTTTTTTTTTTTTTTAAGCGATATCAAAAATAAATATCAAATTAAGTAATGACATTGAATTTATGAAAAAAAAAAAAAATTTTAATTCATTTTATAATAAAAATAGTTTTCTTTACATCTTTGAAGAAACTAAATTAAATTCTGTTCAAATTTGTTAAACGTTTTGTTTTGCTTCTTAAAATAACACAAATTACTCAAAAAGAATTGCATTTTATCAATAAATAATTCTTTAAACTTTAATCAAAAAATGTTGAACAAACTTTAAGAGGGAAAATGCCAAAATGAATTTAATTTAAAAATGTTAAGGGTTTTTTAAACTTAAGTAAATCTTTTTTGTCTTGAGTAAATTTAAGCACCAAAGTTTACTTTTTACAATTTAAATATAAATAATGTATGGACTCAAACTAAAATAATCAAATATACTTACTTCAAATAAATAAGTTAAATGATATTCCAACCAAAGGTAAAATTAAAAGATTCCTTTGAATTTCTCGAGCCAACAACATAAAGAGTACACAGTCCGCAGCAGTTCACTGAAACTAAAACGATCTAATTGTCAGCCGGCCTCCAGTCTATCGAGGTAGTGGCGTTACGCAGAGGCCTGTTAATACAGAACGCCATGTTGTGTATACAAAGAAAGATTAAGGTGTTGAATAAAGAAAAAACAATTTTATTATTCTTATGTTAGTCTATGTGGCAGTTATCAAATTTGCTCCTGTTGGCATCTCCTTCAAGAGACTCCATGAATGCCATCCTTTGTTATTTCAGTAAACCACTTCCTGGGCAGAGCATTGCTTTCTGGCAACAATCCACTTTATGGATTTGTGCGATAGTTCAACAATGCTATTTCCAGATG